GTTGCCGTCACTGTCTGCATCCCCCACGGCACAAACGTCCAGAATCGGACTTGATACGATTCCACCGTGACATTTTGAAATCCCGCCTCTTCCACCAACTGTTGCAGAACAGTGGCCCTGAGAGGTCCTGGATATTGATGTCGAAACCTTCCAAAAAGGTTCCATCGAACCCATTCGAAGAGATGATACCACCGAACCGTCAAGGCATCGGCGCACCAATCGGTAATGACCAGTCGCCCACTGTCCCGACGCAAGACGCGGTACATTTGGGCCAATGCCAATGGTTTGTTGCGGAAAAAATGAAAGGCATTGGTGGAACAAATGATATCCGCCGATGCATCGTCAAGAGGCAGAGATTCGGCTGTCGCTTGGATCCATTGAGCAGCGGGTCGTTGTTTTCGTTTGGCTCGTTCTAGCATTTCCGGACACGGCTCCACGCCCACAAACCGTACAGACGTGTCTTCTTCTTCTTCTTGTAGGGATTGCAGTCGTTTGACAAACTCTCCCGTTCCACAGGCAACATCTACCACCGTAATCGGTTTCTTGCTGTTGCTCTCATCATTCTCTTGCTGTTTTCTCGTCCTGTCCAAGATAAAGGACGAAACCAGTCGCAGAGGCCACACAAACGTCTTGTTCAGATAATCGGCCCAAAAGGAATCGTACCAAGAGGCCATGGCGGAATATTCCACTTGCAGAGCTTCCAAGGCAACCTCGTTGTTGTCGTCGGCCTTCAATTCCATCGCTTCAGAGTCGTTTGTTGTCATGATCTTCTATTATTGTGGAGGAGGGAACTGGCCAGCTGCTATGAAATGGGGTTGTCTGGGTTTGGGTTGCCACTGGGGAGGAGCTCGACATACTGGTACGATAGAAGACTTGTATCCCCACAGCCATCCAGGCTTGACATTGGCATCTCTCAAACGAGCGAAAACACGAGTGCGAACACGGTAACACGGTGCTTCGGATTTTTCCGAAGGCTAAGCATTTTTTTTTGAAAATTTCTCCGCTCTGTGAAAGATTCTCCGTACTGTAGATGCGGATCTTTTCGATTCTCGACAGTGAAGATTGATGGCGATGATGGCCGACAAGACGATACTGTACCAAGCAAGTATCCTATACGGCAGCACCATACTATGTTCCTCCTTCGGCGTTGGCTGTCATTCACTGTCCTGCCCACAGTCCTCCTCTTCCTGGTGCTGAAATCGAACTTGAATGCTGTGGAGAGCCGTGAGCCAGATACACCAGAGGGAACCTGCACTACTTCTGGCGTATGTGACACCATCAAAACTGTCTTGGTGACAGGCAGTAATGGATTTGTGGCATCTTGGATTGTCAAGGTATTGTTGGAACAAGGATACTCAGTCCATGCAGCTGTCCGTAATGAAGCAATACCTGACAAAGTCAACCATCTCAAACAATTGACGGCAGAGACCAGTCGCCTTAAAATATTTTCTACGGGAGACTTGGGAAGTACCCCGGATGACATTTGGGATGCCCCTCTGAAAGGTTGTCATGCTGTGATTCATGCTTCCATGGCAATGGGATGGCGTGATGGTCGTCATAAAATGTACGAGCCAACATTGGCAGGTACACGACAATTGTTGCAGGCAATTGAACGACACACCGACTCAATCCAAACGCTCATTCTGACATCCTCCACAGCAGCCGTGGCTACTCAAGATGGCAATGCTATTACGGATGAGTCACATTGGCGCAATGCCCAAGAGGATATAGAGCAGGAATCTTGGTACAGTGCCACCAAAATTGCCCAAGAACAAATGGTCACCGAATGGGCCCAAACCCAAAAGAAAGCTGGAATTCTGCCGCCACAGTTTCAATTTGTGTCCATTGTGCCCACACGAGTTCTGGGTCCTCCCATTGTATCCACACTACCCATTTCCGGTTGGATACAAATACTTCGCGATTGGTTGTTGCATCCACCTGCAGAAAGCAATGATACCATCGAGTTCGTACATGTCCAGGATGTAGCCCGCATGCACATTGCTGCCTTGGAACATCCAGAGGCATATGGACGATATTTGTGCGTGGACGAATCCTGGCATTGGAATGAACTGTTGGAGTATCTACAGCAACTCCAGCCCAAAATGATAATCAAGCCATACAAGGGAGACGATGACAAGGTCCCTCCAAAACAGTTCAGCAAGGAACGACGCAACACTTTGGATGTAGCATTTCGGTCGATGAAAACCATGCTAAAAGACGCTGTGGAATATTTGGAGGCTGGTGATGAGTTGGGTGGATTATCTACAATTAAATTCTAAAATGATTTTGAATATGCCCAGGATTTGCGGCCTGACAACAAAACGATGGTGGCTACGGTAGCTCGCCAGAACTCAAGATGGATGTCCTTCAGCTTGCAGACAACCTTTTCAGCTTCGTGGCCACATTGGAAGATTGATTGGGTTGAATTGAACGATTCCAAGCTGTGGGTAGAATCGAATCCTTCATTCAATCCTACTAATCAGACAATTCTTTGCTTTACCATGAGTACGGTAGCCGCCAATGCCGTACTGGTACTGTACCCAAGCACAAACGTTCAAAGCTTCACAGGCTTACTTTCAGATCTTTCTTGGATCTTTCTCTTCGATCTTTGGGAAGATCTCAGTTACCGTACCCCAAAGCCATGAAGATGATGATGTTGAAGCGGTCCTTATCAAGCACCGTTGTGTTGTTTTCGCTTGTAGTTGTCTTGTTGGCATCTTCCACCAATGGCTTCCGCCATGGTCGCTCCCTGCAACCGGTATTGACGCCCAGCCTGAATGTAGAAAGGAGTCTTTCGTCGTCGAAATCCAGCACCAGCTGGCCAGCGAGAAAACTGCCGCCTCAGAGCACCGCCCAAACAGCTTGTCTGAATCTGCGAGGAGGCAGTGTTTCTGGGATCTTGACTGTCTTGGTGAAGACCGCCATTCAGAATCCGGTCCTGGTTTTGCGTAAGTTTGGCAGAAGATGGAGTGCCCATTGCATGTGTGATGTGATTCTCGCCTGATGACAGCCTTTTCCCTTGTGCTTCAAATGCAGTCATGCTCTCTTCTACCTTGGTATCCGTTTACAAAGAGCAGGTCCCATACCCAAAACAGATACAATCCTTTATTCAGATGTGTATTGTCGGCTATGTCTTCTACTTGCTGGTTCAATGGCAGAAAATGCAGCAAGATGCAGCCGAAGAATCATAGCCTTCGCTCCGAAAAGTGCTCCATCACCACCCTGCAGCTCTTCCTAGCTAGATTCTTTCCTGTCTAGCTAGCATCTAGATTGTGGATGTGTCTGCCCTAGCTAGAGGTAAAAAAACTTGCGTTGGATAGTAAGACTCTTGAGTTTCACTTGAATGGATCTACTCTACCGGTACAAACATGCACTGTTGCATTCGCTGAGGCTTCCATTTTAAAATGGCCACCCTTCCTGCAGTTTGGCTTGATGTTGCTACTGGTCATTTGCTCTGAGCTAGCTCTAGATAGCAGGAACGCCAACATGCAGCGAAAGAGCAAACACTCTGTCTTGGCTGTGCGAGCCCACCCCCAAACATGGGTGAGTGTGCGTCTGCGACAATACCGGTACTGTAGATGGAACAGAAGCGCAAACTCAGCCTTCAGCCTTCAAGCGCAGCATCAGCAATATCAGCATCACAGGAACTTGCTGAAGTTGACAAGGAAACCGACAACCAAGAAGCAAGTTACCATAGCTCTCGAGATGAGGAAACGGCGAGTTCAGTTTGATCATCAAGGCAGTGAGATCCATGAGGTCCCTTCCATCGCAAAAGAGGAGAAAAAGAACTATTGGTACACTCCACAGCAACTCAAGGGTATCCTGGTGTCGGCCATTACATCGACGGGCGAAGCCGTCAAAGAAGCTCGCAGCAAGGGTGGGGAAATGCCCGATCTTCGGGGGTTGGAATCCCTTTCGAAAACCTCTCAAGAACGCAAGGAAGAAATCTCCCTGGATCGCCTCCGCGTGATTCAAGCCTACACCAAACAAAAACGACAAACGGGTTCTGTGGACGAAGAATCAATTCGTTCTCTGTACCATTCATTCACGGAAGAAGATACCAAGAGAGCTCTGGCGTATGGCAAGATTGATGCCAAAGAATCTTATAGCTACACTACCGCCAATGGCAAGACCACTGCAACTACCAAGCAAACATCCAACAATAAAGGAAAGGGAATGTTGGACTTTCTTTTTGGGAAAAAGAGCAAAGGCAACAAAACACACAAATAGAAACAATGACATTGCCATGTTCCAGCAGCCGATGTTGGTATCCACCAAAGGATGACGCCGCATCCTCCAATCCTGAACCAACGATTATCCGCCCCGCCGTGGAATAGGTTCATTGGTTCTCGAACGAAGAGCTGAGTGACCCACATTTTGCACACTCCTGCAGTTCTAGATACATCAATCAGCTTGACTTGAGGAGGCAGTTCGTGAGGTATCTATATTGTCCTGTGGAAAGAAGACTTGCTTTTAGAATCCAGGCACTTCTTGGGTTCAAGCTTGGGCAAAATACGGTGCCATGGTACGGTACAGTATTGGTGCGCATTTCGCACCTATGCGGATGCCGATTGGTTTCGAATCTATCTTTTCATCGATTGGTTCCTTCTGTTATTTTGCAATGACGTGATCCTTCCCTCTCGTTGGTGTCCGTTTGCAAATGACAGATCCAAAAATCTGCTACCAATTGGAAGAAATGATGTAGCCAAAGGGAGCTGATGACTCCTTGCTAGCTAGTCAGAACTCCTTTGACACATGGCATCCCATTGCCCTTTTTCTGAGCGTCTTCATTGGTCCTTTCCCTTGCTTATCACCATCTCCAGGCAACCGGTCTGGAGAGCATGAAGGTCTAAGAGTAAATGGAAATCTGTCTGTATGATTTTGCTTCATAAATCGCTTAGTCATAGAGCGTTAAGTCTCTTACTCGTAGCTGTAAATCGTTAAGTCTCTTAGATTCCGAATGGTGAATCAAATCAAGGATCGGGAGGCCTCCACAACCGCACAATGCACCCGAAAGATCCGACCTTCCACAATCATTGTTCGTGTTGCTCACTTCAGACGACGACAGCAAGAAGAGACACGCACACCTGCTATCTACTCGCTAGAGCTAATCAGACAAATACAATTTGCCAAGATGGCACGGAAGAAGAAGAACAAGAACCAACAAAAGCAAGCCACGGGAGCGAGAGAAGAGGGCAATGCTGTCACCAAAAGCGCCACCAAAGCCAAAAATGAGGAGGTTTCGGAAGCCGACGCTGCTGGTGGGGCTATTCTGATTGGATCCAAGAGATCTCCTGCTGCTGCTGCTGCCAACCAGAAAGATGAGCCCAGATTGACGCGCCAGAAACGGCAAAAAGTACAAAATCAAACGAAGAACAAGCTTGCCACTACTAATAAAAATGACACCTCCATGGAAACGCTCGGAGACGAATTCCGAGAGTTGCTGCAGAGGGATCATGTCAGTGACACGGAATGGCGTCACTTTGGCCGTTTTCTGGTGGCTTCGGAGGATAGTATTACGCGTCAAATGGCAGTCGATCGCATACTCCAATACCTAACGGCCAAGGCAGGCGATGCCGGTCTGTCCAAGCTAGATTTGCTCCAACTCTGGAAGGGACTTTGGGCACCACTCTACAAGGTCGACCGATCGGTGCAAGAAAGCGTTGCCCAGTTGATGCACGGCCTCACGGGTCCTCTGGAAGAGGATCTTATGGCGGGACAAATCTATTTGGATATGGAGATGGAAGAGCAAATGGCATTGGAGGATTCACAGCAAGAACAAGAATTAATGGAGGATGACGACAGTGACGACAATATCCAAGACAATGAAGTAGAGCAGGACACAACAATGGAGGAAGACGGTGAAACTCAGGGAGATAACGATGACCAAAACAACAACAAAAAGCACATTCGAAGTGCCGCTTTGGTACAATTGATGGTCCGTGCCTTCTTTCAAACGGTAGTCTCCGAGTGGGACAATCTGGAGGAGAGTCAAATCAACAAATGCTATACTCTCATTCGATGCGTACTCCGAGAGGTATACGTTTACTTGGCCACACGACAATGGAACATTGGCCTTATCAAACTCTTGAACGATGCCATTGCGGAAGAAGCCTTGATGAAACGGCCCAATGGAGTGCGATTGCATCTCATGGATATTGCTCTGGAGGAGTTGGCCAAAGTGGGACAACAGCAACAAGTGGAGTTCAAGCCCATCACCGAAGTAATCTTTCTGGAAGTCATGGAACCCTTCTTCAGTATGGCGGCACATGGCTTTGGTGACAAGACTGTCCAGGCAAGAGCTGTGGAGAAAGTGTTGAAAAAGTTCTTGATGGAGCACAGTTTAGTGAGCCCCCAAGGCGACGACAAGAAATCAAAAGAGCTTATTATTTTGAATCAGGTTCATGTGGGCACTGTTTCCTCGTTTATCTTTGAAATGGCCAGTGATGAATCAACGCCTCAAGCGAATCGAAAGTGTCTCTATGACATTTACAAGACATATGAGCGCCAACGAAAGAAAATGGGTAGCGATATGGAGCTCTCTTTTGATGCTGTGAAACCAGGATTGACGGAGCCGGTAGACGACGACGAAGGAGAAGAAGATTCTGACTTTTCGGAAGAGCAGCTCGTGGAAGAGGATGACGATGACTTGCAAAAGTTGGGTTTCATGGAGGAGGAAAGTGACGATGCCAACGAAGAACCACAGCAATCTGCAAACACAACAGCAGAAAAGCCCTCCCAGGCGGCAAACAAGAAGAAGAGGAAGAAGAAGCGCAAGAAGAAGGACAAGAGTGCAAATAAGGAGGACGGTGACGAGGGCCAAAGCCAAGATCCTGCCGCAAGCAAACAAGAAGACGAGAAAGTGAGCGCAAAGAAGCGCAAGAAGAAATCAAAGAAACGAGGTAAGCATGAAGAAGCTAGCGACCAGGAAAAGGCTACAAAAATGCCAGAACAAGAGGCTGAAACCAACTCTGCCGACAGCGGAGAAGACGCTGGCGGCGGGAAGAAGAGGAAGAAAATGAAGCGGCGCGTGAGCTTTGACCAGCACAACCAAGCAAGATCGTGGAAGGCATCGATGCACGGCTTGCGAAAGCTGGATCCCTCGGAAGCGATTTGCAAATCTCCCGAAAGGAGTATTCTCTTGAACAAGGGAGCAAAGTCACCTGTGACAAGGCCGGGCAGGAAGGGTAGAAATAGTAGAAAGAAACCTAGCTACCTCTAGTTGGGAGCATTATTTCTACTACAAATGTACCAAGTTCTTTCCTTTCTTCCATCCTATGTCCATTTTGGTCTCGTTCTCAAATTTCACATAAAGCTTAGATTAGTTTATGTTCTACATGTATCTCTTTTCCCGAACAGGTTTCAACCATAAAGAATACACTCTGTTTCCTTGAAATGTAGAGTTGGCGTGCACTGCATCCTCGCTGGTGCTTTTACTCGCCCGCCAAGCCGATACGGTAGGGTCCAACACCTGGTACCAAAGTACTTCTACGCACCCACCAATTTCTCACTAGCCTCCCAGAGTTTGCCTGGCATATCCTCCGTCACGTTGGGGTTCTTGAGTTCCATGGGCCAACCTCCTGGTTTCGATTCGGGATCTTTGTAGATACCAAACTGACTGTAGAATTTTCCCGACTCCATCTTGTCGGCATCTTCCAAAAGACAGTGGAGCGTACTCTGCGCACCGTCAACAGGAGTGATCATATCTCCCTTGAGCAAAAAGAATTTGCGTGCTAGATTGCCAGCAAGATTGGCAAAGAATCCCTCTCCAAACATTTTCTTAAAGACGTGTACATCCAACGGACTGAGAACCCATCCAGGATGGACACTAGTGGAAATGAGTTTGTCGGCGGGATACTTTTTACCCGCTTCCGTGGCATGCAAGTAATTGGACAATTTGCTCTGTCCGTACGCCAAACCTTCGTCGTACTCTCGGGTTTCCCACATGAGATCGTCAAAATCCACATTGGCGGGTACATCCCGCAAGGTCGACAGACCAGCCGCCACGGAAGAGAGCGCTACAAAGCGACTGGGTTTGCTGGTCTTTTCGGCCGTTTCGAGGAGAAGAGGTGTCAAGAGATGCATCAACAGAAAATGCGCCAAGTGGTTGCATCCAAATTGCCATTCAAAGCCATCTTTGGTCTTGGCGTAGGGACACGCCATGACACCGGCGTTATTGACCAGACCATCGAGTCGCGTGTATTTTTCTTGAAATGCCTTGACAAAGGCTCGTACCGATTCCAACGACGACAAGTCGAGTGTCGTCACAAAGACGGCTCCTGATCCAATGTCTTTGACTGCCTCTTCGCCGCGTTCGGCATTCCGACATGCCAACACCACCGTGGCACCTTGCTTGCAGAGTTGACGAGATGTCTCCAAACCACAGCCACTATTGGCGCCCGTCACGATGTACACCTGTTCCGAAAGATCCTTCTCAAACAACTTTGGATCGCAGCGAAGAGGAGTCGGCATTGTTCTATTCTTAAGTTATGATAGTAAGTAATGGACTGGACTGGAAAGCTAGAGGTCGATTGCTCGCACAGGAAAAGTAAGTGAAAAGACAACAACTTCTTTATCAACTGGAGAGGAGGAAGGACGATGGATCTTTTTGTGATGCCGGCATCTTTGTTTTTGGGAGAAAACCGGAAGCCAAAGAAAAGATTCACTCGTGACTAAATTCAGGACTCCAGCAAGGAGCGGTACCAATGTACCAATACTAGTAGCTGACCCTCTTTGGAAGTCAATGCTACCCGGTATATGCATCCATGGCACACTTTCAAAAGGCAATCCATGCACCGAGAGCAGAATTGTAGCTACCGGTAGCTAGCTACCATCACCATAAAGTAAACGCTTGACATCATCGGCAATCGAAGTCGACCGTTAGTGAGCCAGATAATCTTCTGTGTGAGCACTACTTCCTTCTACCGTACTCGACGACATGACAATGCTTGCCAAAGGGCGACAAGAATGCTCCAACTTATGCATACTTGAGGGCTCTTCCACGTGTTGCGTTCGTTTTCGTATTTCCCAGTAGCAGGCTTGGTTCGTATCATTCATTTGCACTTGAGCGACCCGTATCATCCTGTTTGGTGGCAGGGAGTGTTCTGGTGCTAGCTACTAGTAGTTCGTTGCCGAGTGGCTGCGAAGAACAAAAGCTGATCGCGATGCTCTGCCATATGTACTTGTACTGGTGGAGCCAACCGATGCTGTGCGAGCAACCTCCAAGACAAATAATCAAATCAAGAGACATCAATGGCCGCGATCGAAACAATTAGCCGACTCGAAGGCTTCGCTCATCCTTGCAAGAGCAGCCACAGCCACACAACAGATCCGTGCAGTCAAATGACAAGCCAAACGGGGGATAGCACTGCTTGAATGCATTTCCGATACATGTGCCATTCAAGTCACAGAGACCCGACGGTACATACCCAGAGAGCAATGGATTCCCTTCCAAAGACATTGTATGGAGAGACTGCTGCAGAAAGGATAGCTCTTCTGGAAGGGTGCCAGATAAGGTGTTATTGGCAAGAATCATGGCCCCCAATGAGGTAAGCGATCCTAATTCACTTGGGATTTGACCTGAAAATTGGGTGTTCTGCAGCTTCAGATCTCTAAGATTTGTCAGGAGTCCAAGCTCCGAAGGGATTGATTGTGACACAAGGTTGTCATCCAATCTAAAAAACATCATTGTGGTGAGCAGGCCAATCTCCGTTGGTAGCCCAGAAAATTGATTCGAGCCTCCGAAGACTTTGGTCAACGATGTTGCAAGACCCAATTCAGTTGGAAGAGATCCTTCCAGCAGGTTGCCCGTGAGAAGAAGACTTGTAAGTGCTGTCAGCTGCCCCATCTCGCTCGGGAGATTTCCTGTGAACCCATTATCAATCAAAGTAAGCGCCAGGAGCGATTCAGCACGCCCTAGCTCCGTTGGCAGTGAACCTGTGGATATCACCCGACAAGCAGATAGATCGACATGAGTTTCCCCAAAAGCATTGGCAGCAATCAACACTAGCAAAATTTGCAAGACACGCACCAGAAAGGCCACAATCGTCCACAATCAATCGTTCCAACTTTGTGAGAGCTCCAATCTCTGCGGGCAGCGTTCCCTGTAGTTTCTGGACTCCCAGCGCCAGATGTTTCAAGTTGCTAAGTCTCCATATTGCCGAAGGGATGAAACCAGACAGTTGATTCGCACGGAACGAGATGATCTCCAAATTAGTAAGCAAGCCAACTGCAGATGGTATGGTGCCTGTGAGAAGCAGATTGCCCAGAGAGATTCCTTTTAAACCTGTCAGCTGTCCAATGTGGCTCGCAATGGATCCTTTCAACTCGTTCCAACCCATGGACATAGTCTGCAATGACTTGAGCATGTAAAGCTCATTCGGAACAGAGCCAACCAGATTGTTCGAGTCCAGCCAGAGATGTTGGTACCTGCCATCCTTGTCACAGGCAGAGGAGGGCGGAGGTTCCAAAAACCCAGCAAACGTTCCAGGATAGAACTTGGATATGGTGAGTTTCCGGCCAAAGTCTGGTTTCTGGAACCAGTCGCACTCATGGACACTGTGGTTGAGCCAGTGGGTGTTCTTTGTCCATGTGTCCCCGCTCGTGGTATAATACAGGGTAGCTAGAACAAACTTTTGCTGGATCCGTTCCTTTGTGTACAATGGAAGGTTCTCTGCGTCGTCCAACAACCACTGGTACGCTTTGGCCTGAGGCGAACCTTCCTTCTCCAAAGCTGCCAGAGTGTCTCCTGGCAACACGGCCTTGATCCTTCCCTCGAGTGACATCAAGGTTGGGGCTGCCGTTGGGAGAATCGTTTGTTCTTTCCCGGGTGACACTTGTGTGCTATTCTCGTTACTACTCTGCTTGGCAGGAACCGCAACAGCAACCACAATCATCAGTACGGCCACCAACACCACGACTCCCAAAAGAACATTGGTCTTGAATTGCTTGGTTCGTTGCTCTCTCTGCAATTCTTGACTCTCGACATTGTAATCCGTGGCCCGTGGTAGATCATCTCGCCGGGGCATTGTGTCTTCCTGTACCAGGTTGGCCACCGCCAAGCCACTGCTACTATCCTCCGTGGTGCTGTTATCGGCCGTCATGTCACCGTTGTGCCCATTTTCGGCTACAGCACCAGGCTGCGTTGGAAGAATCTGTTCCCGCATTAGCCTGGGTTGCGAAAGGGCGGCTTCTTCGTCGTCATCTTCTACAAGAAGGTTTCGAGAAGACGACTGAATCATGGAGGGAACAAATGTGGATGCTCGTTGCAGTTCAATACCGGGTGCTGCCGAGTAGGCACCAGGGCGATCGGGTTGTCTGTTCGTACTGGCTTTCCTGGGTACATCGTCCTGAGCAGTGGTCGCCACCTCCTGGGACTCTGGTTGGTTGTAAGAGGTGTACTCGCTAATGCGCTTTTGTACCACCCGGATCAGGAAGGAGTCGTCTTTCATCTCTCCCCCAGAGTCGTCTTTCATCTGGGCGGTGTCGGCAGTGCCCTGACGCTTCCAGGCAGGAAGCTCGTCGACCGACTTGGTTGGTTGGCTGGACTTTTGTAAATGACTCCTTATCGGGAGACTGAGTGATCCGCGCATGGATCAACTTGAGCAAATTCAATCCGTCCTCCAACTCGGCCTCTTTCGAATTCATGTCTTCCTTGGTGGTGGGTGAGTCGGTGTGACTCATAGAGCTTTGTTGTTCGATCGTCGATTTCGGGGTATTGAAAGGCTTTGCCCAGCTTCAGCGTCGAGCTTCGGTTTGTTGTTGTTTACTCGCCACCGCTTGTGTATAACGGGATGTGGAAACAAAACTTCCAATCCTCCCATGCACCCAACCTACATTCTGGCCAGGACGCCACTTGGTCTTCATCGACTGACTTGCATTCCATTCATCATCATCATACCGGTACTGCCCTCTCATGCTAGAACTTAGAACTTTTGGGTTTTGCATAGTGACACTGTGACACTGTAGTACCAGGTACGTACTGTACCACAGCTAGTACCACCTGTACCGCTGGTAACTATGACATAACTGATCAGTTAAGAACTATAATTAGTCTGTGCTGGGTGACGGCGCAAAGAATGCCAGAATGACTATGTCACTGGATTCTAGATCTCATTCATAAAGCATTACGAGGATTACTTCTTTCATAGGAACACCGTCCTAATCGTGAGTTTGCTACATTCACAATAATTGAAGCAGGAGTCCATTCTTCATCATTGATATTGTATCTAGCAACATGGGAGAGTTCAGATAGGTAAGAGTCCATTTTACTTGATAAGCTGTCAGGTATTATGGCCTGCAACAGTGCATCTTCCTCTCTACCTCCCAAACACCTAGCAAAACACCTGGCAAAAAAAACTTAGCAAAAATTCGTCACTATGTATTATACGTATAACACGTACAACACATAATACATGTAATACGTATAATATTTTTCCACTTGTGTTACTTGTGTTGTACGTATGACTTGTCTAATACATATTAAAAGGTTATACGTGTAATACGTATGACCTGTAGAATACATAGTGGAAAGGTTATACGTATAATACAACCGCGTGCGTTTCAGGGGCTCTCTATCTTACTACTGGACTTACCCCGGTGGCTCTTTACAGATTTATATGGATACATGAATGTATGTATAAGTCAGCCTAGTTTATTCGAATTTGGGCACGTTCTCTACTGTCTTAAGATACTCCATACGCGACAGTGTTAAAGCATACCCATTCGAACCCGTGATTCAATCCATATCAAGATGCACAGAGAACCCCAAAGAGGACCATCTGTTGCCAGCACACTCACTACAAAGGGTCATGGTGTTTGATGTTGCCCCATGAACGAGCAACAAGAGGCCACTGTTCAACACAATGTCAATCAATAAGAAAAGCTTCCAGTGCATAGAACCTCAATTTCATAGGGAGACTGCGAGTTGTCGTCTTCGTTGTTATCTCCATCACCACTGTCATTTCCCTCAATGTCTTCTGCTCCACCATCAACGGTGTCTTCCTCTTCGTCTTCTTCCTCCTCAGAAGTGTCGGCTCCAGTCTTCGTCTTCTTGGTGGGACTTTCATCGTCTTCGATGTCACTGCCGGTGCGTTTGTTGGCAGCATCATCTACCTGCTGTTCCTCTCCGTCGTCCTCATTTTCGTCTTCTTCCACTTCCTCCTCTTGGACGTCGTCGCCGTCGTCTTCAACCTGAGACATGACCCATTTGCATGGACGTTGCAAGATGGGGTCGATTGCTTCTTCCTCTTCCTCGGAATCATCGGTGTCTTCTTCTTCCTCGGAATCATCAGTGTCTTCTTCTTCCTCGGCATCGTCGGTGTTTTCTTCGGCTTCTTCCTCGGCGTCATCCTCCACCGGTTCGTTGACTGGTTCATCCTCCACCGGTTCATCGTCCACTGGTTCATCGTCCACTGGTTCATCATCCACCGGTTCTTGGGCTTCTTGAGCAATGCGACGGAAGAGTCCAACAACCCCAACCGACGAGTCATCACTACCGGACGTTTCCCCATCGAACTGACGCTCAATGTTGCGAATGGCAATCTGACCTAAAAGGGCTTCTTCCTCGTCCTCGCTTGGGTCTTCGACCATTTCAGTGGCAAGGTCGATGTCGCTCAACCAGCGGTGGTAACGTTGGATGTAAGTGTCTTCGTCAAACTCCCAATCTCGCAGAACCTGGTTGTCTTCGCTGCTTCTTTCCATGGGTCAGTGTTGGAGGTTGTATTACAGACACCTCAATACAAATTATTCGTTTATCCCAATCTAGTTTAGAGGGGATATCTATATCTATTCTCTAGTTACATACATGGGGAGTTTAACTGATCTATATGGTCACCCCCTTCACTCTTTGAAGTTGAATCAATCCCAGAAATACATGGAGAAAGATCACTTCTTGGAAATAGCTTAACAGTAAAACCCTTTTAACCTTTACTAAGCTAGAGTGTTATTTTACTGTTAAGCTATTTCCAAGAAGATCATCTCGAATTCGAGATCTTGTCACCAACATGGTGATATCGATATTGACTTCATCCTATTACATGATATCAAGCTAAGGTAAAGAGCAACAGGTGTAGCAAACGGCTCAGGCAAAAAGGGCTCTAGCCTCAGCAAGAGAGCTATCCAAACAGCCTTGCAGGAAAAAGGCAACATCACGAAATCGTGCTGCACAGAGTGACTACACCGGAGGATCGACAGATCGACTCCGCAAATGAATCAGCCTAACCGAAGAGTACCACATGAAAGAGCATTACTAACTACACCACTCTATTACTTGAACGAAGCGAATACACCAGGATCGAACTGATTGAGTTACAACCAATCGAGTTGGAGCAAGAAGTGAGCTCAAGACAGAAGCAAGCTCACAGCAGTGAGCACGCAAGGCGCCGCAGCTCGAGCACCGGAACAGTTACCGGAAGCGAGCTCACAGGAGTGAGCAGAAAGGCTACTACCGGTACAGTGTGACCGTAGGAAGCCGATCTTAAGAAACACGCTCCAGGAGTGAGCTCCGGAGCAAGAAAGGAACAAGATCAGTTCACAGGAGTGAGCGAACACCAAGACTTTGTGCTGCGGAAACAGCCATTGTATGACTGCTAAGTGCAGGTACGAAAGACACTATTACGAAAGACAAATACAAGAAGAAGTGCAGGAGTGGCAATCAAGCTATCTAGCTAGCTACCACGACAAGTCCAACCGGAACAAGCAAGGCTACTGTACGATACGGAGCAAAGGCTACTGTACGATACGGAGCAGAGGCTACTGTACGGTGCGGAGCAGAGCTACTGTGAGCACAACAGCAAGCCAAGAGGAGCAACACCAGAGGTGTTACCACAGAAGAGGAACGAGATAACAAATTCCAACAGGAATACCACAGAGGTACTTCCGTGGGAGAGTTCCTATCCTCAACAAGAGAGCCATCGAAATAGGCTACTAGAAGAGAGGTGCGACGGAACAGAAAATTCCAACGCACAATAACAAGCCATCTTACCAGGCCGATTACTCGACAACGACAGGTCCTACGGAAGGACTGTCATACAGGAAGTTGTGCTTTGAACACTAGTGCAACAGGCCCCAAGAGTACAAGCTGTCGAACGCAACCGGAAACGAGTTGCATCTATCGACAACAGGCTGAATAAGAGAGAATTTGCGAATTTTGCAACTTCCACCAACCAACAACAAAGGCAACGACTACGATCTAGCCAGTCGCTGCCACTACGTCGAACAACCGCGACAGTAGTATCAACAGCGCCAATGCGTTGATACCGATAGCAGCAACAGCGTCGACCAGAAGAAGAAGTGTCGACTGAAGCAACAAGACAACCGAACAACGACCGCTGCTACTGCTAACGAACAGTGCCGATAGCGGCAAGCAATAGCGGCAAGCAACAGCGTCGGCAGCTACTGTCCACAGAGGAAGACATTGCTTTTTGTGAGGAAATCGCTGACTTCCAGGCATCATTTCCACGGAACGACCAAGAAGAACAAAGAACAAGATCCAGCTCAGCGAACGCACAACAACCACTGAACGGGAAAAGGTATCTTTCCACCGCGAAAAGGTATACGGAGCCAGATCCAAAACCGTTTGATCTCTCCGTACGTTGGCAACAAGAGCAGTTTCCGTGTCGGAGCCAGCTACCAATGCACCCACCTATGCAGCTACTGCATGGTACCGGTACAGGAGTTACCGGAGCATGTCCTGCAGATAGCTATAGCTAGCTACCGGCACAAAAGCTACCGCTACAGTGCAAGCCACCGGATAAGCAGTGCAAGCAGAACAAAGCTTTAGGAAGCACAGGAGTGCATCCACAAGCATTGAATATTTTCTTTGGAGTGTGTACTGAGTTTCACTCAGCACCTCCTCCCCTTTCATGGAGTGTGTATTGTGGCATCCCAGCCACAGCACCTCCTACTACCTTTTATGGAAAGTGTATTGTGCACCTGAAACACAGCACTTCCTCCACTGATTACAGGCAAACCTGAGGCAACACCAGCCTCTAGGTAGGCAACAACAGATACCATTACAAGACCATGCCCTTGCTATTTGATCACAGCAAGTGCACAGGAGTGTGAGGGTACCCAAATCCAAAACCTACAATCCTACAAACAAAATCATCATAACATCCGCCTTTATAGGCAATGCCGTAACCATCAATGGCCACAACAATGGCCACAACTACACGGCCAACAACCATCAATGGCTACATCAACAGCCAGCATCGATGGCAACAACAGACAACAACGGTATCTACCACTACCAAACCGATTACAATGAATCGACCAAACCAAATTCAAATTGCATCTACAATAACGGCAACTGCAACAACAGCAGAACAACAGTGAACGTTGAACTGAGTAGCTAGCTACAAGCAAGCCACTCAAGAGTTCACAAGACAAGGAACCAAGCCACAGGATGGCTGGAGCATTCAGAGTTTGACCCACAAGCGGGAACCTGATCAATAGAAACAACAAGAGGGTGCACACCTCAGCTCCACCATGCAACTACTGTACAGAGATTGCAACCAACCTTAGTCTCACACCAACAACAGAAGTACGTAAGTACATCAAATCAAGCCTACAACAGATACAACTATGGACGACTACAAGTCCTGTCACAGCCTGCTCACAGGAGTGTAAGAGCAGTGACAGAACCAACACTTGTCCTGCCACAGCCATCTCACAGGAGTGTAAGAGCAGTGACATCACCAACCAAAGGATCTACCGACTACATCACCATCGAACCATCATCGACCGTGACACGTCCAGGTCCAGTGGAGCCCATCAAGTTGGAGCCTCCACAACTACTACCGAATACTTCCTTACAAGTATCCAAACTTCCAAGGGCTTCCAGCCCCAACTCAGAGTAACATTGTGGCAAGGAACTTCCTCCTAGTTCCAGCTACTACAACAGTTCTCACAGGTGTCGCTATAGCCTGACTTCCCAGTCTCAGCTACGGCAACAACCATATGACGGTACCTAGTGTACCAAGTGACGGCACCAGTCACCACAAGTGACGACACCAGCAGTCACGAGTCACACATGAGTATAAACAACCATGACAAGAGGAAACAATAACTCAACCATTTCCTCATTCCATCTTCAGACATCGAGACCATCCAAGAACTGGGTTCAGTCGAACCCAACAAGTCCTTGACTTCCAAGCCCCATCAAGTGTCCATGCAGCCGAACTTCCCAGTCCGAGCCGCAGGTACACCAGGTGACGGTATCATCCGACACCAGTCTTCCAGGAGTGGCACCACTCACAGCAGGAGTGCCAGCCACAAAGACTTTTCTGACGATGACATTTTCCGTATTGTCTCGTCTACACCCGCTCAGCTTCTCGCCACCAAGCGGGATGCCGAGCAACTACTTCCAAGGTTTGTTTTGGACTCATTGCAAGCCAGTCGACACGACGACGTGAGACTTGGATTACAAAGCCTTTCCAAGGTAGGAGCCTGCTTACCCAAGCACTGATAGACACTTTGAGTGCTATCGATTCTCAGGAATCCTAGAGGCACCGCCTCAAGCTCCACAGCAATCCAAGTTGCATCCAATGTCCAAACCAACCAAGCCAGCTTTGGCTACAACAAGTACAAGTCCTGCCACAGCTGCTCACACCAAGTGTGCCAACAGTGACAGCAGGAGTGGTATTGATAAAGTTGTATCCACCAAAACCAAAGTCTCAAACCTTTTTCAACCTTCCTTTGATTCTCCGATCGATCTATCCAGATTGACACACCAGATCGACTGACAAGAAACGATCATGCCAAGATCGAATGACACGAAGCGATCGATCACAAGCAGCGACCACAGATCGATTCAGTTTGACTCTCGCGATCGACTCAGAAGATCCATCATGAGATTGCAAGTGGACCACAGAAGCTATCAAGGCAGAGCAAGCTTACTCAAGCAAGGGTAGCACACAACAGTGCTACCGGGATATCTTCTGCAGAGGATTCCCACAGTTCCACAGGAACAGTTCCACCATGGAACCAGCCAAAGCAAGCAACAGTTCGACGGAACGCCACAAGTTGCCAGCATCCATCTACAAGAGGTGCAAACCAAGGTCCACAATCAAGCAAGCACACATTATGTACAACAAGTCACAGCATTCGATTCGAAAGAAGAGGAGGCCGTGATAAGGAAGAAACTTCCCCAGCTGGGAAGAAGAGGATTCCATTCCTCTGGAAAAGAAAAAAGCAGGACATCCAACACTCTTGGACATCCAACAAGAGAGACAGCTCACTTCCATTCCAATGGACAACAGCTGACTCCAGATAGCTACAAGCTATTGCACAGACTCATGCTCACTGATTTCCAAATCCAGTATCAAGCCTGAATGGATTGAAAACGCAACGCGTGTCCTCATCAATACAATGTCAACCGATACTGTGATGATTCAACAGTATCAGCACCAAGTACGGTCAGCCAAAGTACAAAGGTCCTTACACTATAGACCGGTCAATGACAATGGCACTGTACGGCTCAACATGCTACCGCCACGGCGGCACAGTCTACCAGACTTGGAACATAAGGTATATAACCCATACAAGGCCTGATCCCCTTGTAGGATTGCCATCGTGCGACGCAATGTCTACATCCAAATCTCATGAGAGTGCCCGCACTTTAAATCATATGTTCTCCTTGTCCGACTGCTGTCGCGCCTTCTGTGACCCTTGTCAGGGGGCGAATGCAATACACGGCTCTTAGCCTTATTCGCGACTCGATCCTAGATAGGGTTTTGAGTTCGACTCATGACTGAGTCTCTCGTGAATAGTCATTTGAGACAGGGTTCTCAATGACTGCGCTAGTCATACTAGGTCGATGATGAAACATCGCTCTAGATATTTAGCCAGCGTGGAGTACTTCCACGCTACTAGATCCAGGCTAGACAAACCTTCCACGCGTTCCGTTTTAGGATCGTGGAGAGACGTAGGATTACTACCACAACCTACTCTATCACACTTTATAGTCTCCCGCGGGAAGCCAGATCTACGATCCCTTTATGATGATCTCTCTCGTTGATTAGTTTTCATAGCTTTCTAATCTCTCTCATAACTTTCATTCTCTCAAACTCAAAACACTCGAAAGATCTTTACACTAGCTTTTAGCGTAGTGCAGCAGTATGCACAAGGAAGGAAGCAAGAGATGCATTCTTGGAACAATCAGTCGCAACACTTTTGATTCCATGCCTGTTAAAGCTTTCATTCGGACAGTTAGACGGATAGACACCGACCTCGCCAGTACAAGCATAGTTCCAATTCCAACGAGGGAAGACACAGTATTCCTTCTCGAGGTGGTCAGCGGCAGCCTTTTTGCCTCGGTTCTGCCTCCAATCTTCGAGGTACAGTCTTGTTACAGTGCGACGCTGATCCACTGTTTTGGTAGTGGCAATATTAGTGACATGCCTGTAGGCTGTACCTTTGGCATCAGCGAATGGCTTGTTTTTCATTTTCTTGACATAACTGGAACGTTTAGCAAATGCCTGCACAACATGGAAATAGCAATTGAGAACGGCCTCTTCTTTAATGCAATTGTCATCGCTTGCTGTGCTGTGGTCATCCCTTTCAGGACAATCGGCGTCCACTTGGGTAAGGAATGTTGGCGAGGGTGGATACTCTTCGATTTCTTCGACAGATAACTCTTTCTCGTGACAGGATTCTCCCGTTGTTGCGTCCATGTCGCAGAGCTGTGGATGTTTCTTGTAAAAGACATGAGCGTTCACAAACGTATCGGCATCGTCTGAAGTACCCCAATCGATATTGAACTCTATACCAAAGCACTTGGAACACAGATCTCGCATTGCATACAGTACAAGACAATATGGATGCAACCTTTCCCCACCGGCTCTCAGGTACAGGATCGGTCGGAATGATGATGTGACCTCATCGCATCCAAGTCTGAGTTTCACAGAAACACTGCCGACAGTGATAAGGCAACTCTGGTCTCTTATCATTCCCCCAGTGCCGTCAACACAGAGCTGACGAGTGCCCTTCCTTCTCAAGGCAAGATGCATTAACTGAAAGAGTCCAGTAGGTGAGAATATCACGAATGATCCTTCAATGCGTTCGTCGAACTTATCCGTAGCTCCTTGCTGAACCTCCAATACGGCGTTTCGATACCTAGCAACCAAATCACCAGCACCAAGGTTCATGGCGAACATGTGGTCAGAACCAGAAACGTGCAATGCCGTTGCTAGTTCTTCAGGGCTCCTGTAGTCACATCGCGCAGTATAGCTCTTGGGAAAACAAAGTCGCCAATGAGCCAGTACGCGCATGAGTACATCATTGTTACGAATGTTGTCATGGCCAAATAGCTTTGTCTTCACGTAGGCTTCCCTTTGATTGGCCACGAAGTTTCGCAACTGTCTTATGAGATGTTCCCGTGGGTATCTGTCAACTACATGATGACGGTGCTCGAGATAAGCAGTGTCAGTCCGAACGATTGTTGTGACAGTCTTCATGACATCATCGGCTGTGATTCGGAGCACACATCTTCCGCGTTTCGTCTCCTCGGCAAGATATTTCTGCACAATGGGCTTGATTGCTGGAGCTATTCCGTATTGGTCATTGTGGTTCAAAGGTTTCTTTTCCGTTTCGTGGTTGTGCCCTCGGTTACCTTTGCGCACAAAGTTTCTGTAGCGTTTGCTGTCTATTGCCATTGCTCCGAGATCTCTGGTTTGTGCACGCCATGGGCACCTGAGCTTCGTAGAATCGTCCTTGCTATCACCTACGCGGCAACAGTACTTGTGGATTTTGATACCACTGGTAATTGTGGTTCCATCCGGTCGGATGCACTGTTTGCTAACTCCATTGACCTGAACGAATCCGCCGTACTTGTCAATAAGTTGTGACTTGGCAATTTCCATGGATGCACAGGGGTAGCATGATGGATCTTCGGCGTATTCAGATGAATGTGGCATTCTCTTGACAGGAATGTTGGGTGCACGTGCTGGGTAAGCAGATACACTAGAAAAAGATCTTGCTGGCGGGGATGCATGCACATGGTTGAAGCTTGCAGTACGAAAGTACTGGTTGTACGGATATGGAGGATGCACTGCTGCATAGGGTACATAGGGATGGCTGTAGAAGTTTCCGTAATATGGTGGATACCCATTGTTTGCACTAGAGTACGCATATCCTGTATGATATGATGGTTGATATGGTGGTGCACGCGAGTTACGGGTATCGTCACCGGTACCATCACTGCCATTAGACTGAGAGGATTTGCTCTTTGAGGTAATATTCAGAGGATTGTACGGTGTCCATTGGCGACGGGACGACATGGTGGCGAAGAATCGCCAAGGAACTAAACTGCGATGTCAAAGTGGCAATGTACAATTCTGCGAGTAACAATAAAACTGGCGATGTGCCGAACTACTTATGTAAGCGATTATAGGAGTGTTGGAGCGATTTTGAGCCAACTCCAAAAAAAGGAGTGTCGCAAAACCCTTCATTGGGTGGGTATATCAGGCATTTCCAGAGACGATTTTTCTCATGAACATTACAGAAATGTGAGTTGTTGGTGGGAGACGCAGCCCCTTAGCCAGATTGGCTTTACACATTCAGTTGACTATACCAGAACATTCGAAGATAATGATCGTCCTTGCTTTCGCGCCGTTTTCCCAGAGTTTTGGTGTGAAGCCAAATTCGACAACACCTGCCGCCAATCAATCATTCTTCGAATCCTTCGATAGTCGACCATGACAGTAACAAAGCATTCATCTTCCTGTAAATAGGCATCAAGCGCTCATGGTCTCTTGTGAAGTGGCTGGTGAGTGGAGGTTCGGCTGCTTCGGCTTCATTGTCTCTGCGTTGGTTTCTGGTTGTTTTGATTCAACTTACAGGACGTTTTGCCATGTCAGTGGTGGGTATCAAGGGGGTCTCTGTGCAAATTGGAAATGATTCACGATTTGCTCTTTCAGTGGTAAGTTGTCCTTTGTTGAGTCATGCATGTTTTCCGCAAGTATCGCGCGTCTCACCCTCTCTTTGTCCTCACTTTTTGTTCGCCTGGCTCGATGGCCAATGTGTAAGGCCAGGAGTACACAATTCCCCAGAAAAGATCACTGTCTTGTTGAAGCCAGAATTAATTATTTAAAGACGGTGTTCCTTGGAACCCTGGCTAGTGACCTCTCTTACCACCTCACAGCTTACAGTCTCCAGTCAGGCCAGCGCCAGATGATGACATAGCTATGACATCAACACCCCGACCACCGACCACACCAGCAGCAAAATCGCCACCAATATCTTCTTAAGTCTGGGACTGATCATGAGGACTCTTGGAGCATCCATGCATCCATGCATACAGGTCGTACAAATAAATGCAGGATCAAAATGGCCACAGGCAGCCGATGGAGACGGAGGAGGAAGGCAGCCAAGGAAGATGTCGATGGAGGGCAGAAGCAATACAAGCAAGCGTCAGCGACACGGATGAATCCGTACAATAAAGCTGCATTCCCAACCGGTATAGCAATCTTGTTAATCCCAGCTGGTTGATCCACACATTCCTGTCTTATACGCTGAGACGATTGTTTGACGCGCATTGCCTGGAATTTTGGGCTACAATTGTGTACCCAGACTCTTCTACGGGTACTGTAATAGCTACATCAGATATCTAGTCTAGTAATCTTTGAAAACACAACGCTTTCCTGCAAAAACAGCTCAACTAGCTAATACGTGTATCTTTGAGCGACGTCCCAGTCGAGGATACGAAACTCGGAACCCCCTAACCGGACCTGCAAGCCCCGCGCTTGAAAGCACAACCGAAACAAGAATGGCGTCATGCTTCATCATGGTGTTGCCTCCATTATTTGTTGTCCACTACCGTACTAGTAAAGATCTACTCTGAGCAATCTTTTACCATGTCGCAACGCCCTGACCCCCCCAACAACAAAGGCAGCGATGATAACATGAGAGCAGCCGCCTCGGTCTCTCGAGGGCAGATATCATCGCAAGAACCAAGCCATGTTGTCTTGGCAGAAGGAACTCGTCCCAGAAACACCAAATCATCACAGCGCAAAAGCCAGTCACGCCCCACCGACATGGAGGAATTGAGAACTCAAGCGCGGCGCTTGAATGAGCAAGATAAACTGGCAAAGCAGCGGGTGCGTGGTACCAATGTTGAGGATGTCGGAGCCAGGCGAGTGGCTCCCGTAGTGGAAGCCCCATCCAGACAACCCTTTCCCAGTGCAAAGTTTGGTCGTACTCGCAATCAGTTGGCTACCACGGCAAGAGCCCTTGTGGAAGAGGATGCGTCCAGTCCTCCTCAATCCTCTGTTTTGGAAATTCCAGATGCTCCCAATGGAGGCGCTGTCTTGGATCAGACAATGATTCATATGAATAGAGAGGGAGTACATGATGCGCCCACTGAAGTTACCCCACAACAACCATCGCCCAATCCAAGTACTACACCAGCCCATGACAACACCGGGAACATTGACCATCCACCAGTAGAAGCCCATCTAGTACAAGCAAGATTGGTAACACAACACGACGATCCTGAGCAACAGCGCGGCAATGACATTAGCATTCAAGAAGCGCAAATAGTAGAAGAGCAAAAGAACTTTTGTGTCCCCCGCGGCACAGGGTCAAAGATTTTTTGCATTGCTATTCTGGTCATTGTTGTGGCTGCTGGAATCGCCGTGCTTGCCATTTTCTGTAGTGGCGGTAGCTGCAGCGCTGGTGGCAGCAGTACGACGCAATCTCCAGCTACTATGCCATTCCCAACGGTGACTGGCATTATTTCACCTGCTCCAACAGCGGCGCCCGAGCCCAAATCCCTGCAGCCATCCGTATCCAAGACACCAACTGTTGTACCATCGATTCACCCGACAATCTCCCCAACGGTGTCAGCCTTCCCCACTTTTCAAACGAATCGAACTGTGGCTGAAAGCTTTGAAGTGAAATTATCACTCATGGCACCATCGGGGGCCGGTTTTATGAATGCATCTCAGGAAGACGAGTTTTGTGCTAGAATGGAAGGGCTGACTGGGGTCTTTGCACCTGATGCTGTGGATCGAGTGGTCTCAGAGTGTACATTCTTTGGGGAAAGCTCCATCGTGGAACCAATCACTGTCACATTGGCGCCAACGCACGGATTCCAGAGACATTTGAAGATGGCCATCCCGGAACTGAACAGCAGCCGCAATGCCACGAATGCGGCAATGTACCACAGACGTAATGCTACCCGAGCACAAAAATTGAAACGTTGGATGCGCAAGAGCAACAATGCCACTAAAACCAACCTGCCACACTTTTTGGCACCCGTGCAAGGACAGAATCGTAGAGCCCAAGAATGGCTGGACGGATCAATCAAGCAAACGTACATTTACCCTTTTCGAATGAAGTATTCATCAGCAACCGAGGATGTGGCGAACTTCACCTCAATGTTTCTCTACTCGTTGATCGATAGTGCTGCATGGTTCAATGCAATGTTGACAGAAATTCTGCATTTGAACGCCACCAATGAGCTACAGATCCAAGAGGTACAATCGTTCCTTATCTTGTCATCAGCGCCGACATTCCTTCCCACCCTCGAACCAACCCAAGAGCAATGAATTCTCTGATTTTGTGGATGCCCTTATTTTTTGGGGTGCAGGACAACGCAACATCACACAGACTACATGTAGTGCACACTTGTTGTACGGCTGTACACTGAAACGCTTTGTTCGTTCGGGGAGCAGTACAAGGTTATGTTCCGAAATCCATCGCAGTTGGTGGAAACATTGGAGAGCTCGATGAGAAACATATCTTCCTGGGAACATCCGGGGACGGCGTTATGACACGAGTAAGTTGTTCAACGTTCTATTTTTAGGTTAAAAATTAGTGCAGGATGTTCTACTTTTGAGTAGAGACAGATTTGTTGGTTTCGTCCTCTGCGGTAACAACAATCTTGGATCCAACATAAGTCAAACCACGCCCTGCAGCCTCGGCGCTGCGCTCCACAAGGCGATGACGAACTGTAAAGTCCATGGCGGCTTTTCCTGTTGCAAGAATGCAATTTTTGCCCTTTTCTGCGACACGATATTGGTTGTCAATGGCTTGCGCCTGATCCCAGCTCTCTCCAGCCGCCTTTTTGGTTGCAGTGACAATGTGATGTTTTTCATCCAGAGCGACGGCCTTTTCCTGGACGGCAATCGCTACTTCTCCCATGGCACGGGCGCAATCACCAACACAACTTCCTGCCTTGTGTTTGGCAGCAAAGGCACTTCCAAAGGCACCCACCACAGCACAGCCAATGCCACCAACAAGGCAACCCAAGACGCCACCAGCAGTGGCGGAAGCAGCGACAATTGCCTTGGGATAGTCCTCGTGTCGCTCTACTACGTGAGGTCCTTCGGTTTTTACATCGTTCTGCTCTTTGTTTTCCTTTTCGCAAACAATGGTAGCCTGCGCTGTTGGCTCTTCTTCCAAAACGACTTGATCAGTTCGCGTCGGGGTACCGGTATCGATGAGGCGTTCCATCTCAAGGTTTTCTTCGCTGCTAGATACAGTGACTTTAACCCAAGGGGTTTTCTGGGGAGTATGGCTGCTAGAACTCATGGTGTCGTCGTGCTCGAAGGGGTTTGTTGGTCGGTTGTCTTTGTTTTCGTTTCGGTTTTGGTTGATTTTGTGAGGAGGTGCAGCTCCCAACAATGATGCTTTCCACGAACTGACACTTCGCCCCGGGATTTGGCGTCTGTCCGTCGTTTCACTCGTGGTATCTTCGACCACTCGTGGAGGTCTGACCGGCTACCATAACGTCGTATGCATTAATTAAAGGTTGCAGAGCTAATGGACATCCCGACACAAACCATTGACGGTACCAGTACCAGTACCGATACGCGTCCGAGCTTTAGCAAGTTGGGAAGTTGTCTGGCTGCGGGCTGCGCCTTGCATGGCTCTTCCCCAGAGAAGTACAGCTCAAACTACCAGACAGTATCAAAGAGCTACGAAATGCAAGTAACAGAGAGGGATTTGAAAGTGTAAGTTCCATTTCCTTTTAATTGATACAAACTAAGCTACGGTATGGAGGTTCGGCCTCCCGAGCCCCGTCCACCTATGATCATTGTTCTCTCTTCTTGCAGTTTTGCCTCTGTGGCTACACACGAAGTCAAGACTTGCTGGCACTCTCACTTTCAGTATCATGGCCACTCTAGTTGGAGTAAACGACTTCCAACGCATTGTCTTCAAGCTTGTACTTGTAGCACTTGCCATCCTTGATGACAACCCGGACCTTGTCACGTTTCAATGCCTCGATATCAGCCAGCGGGTCTCCATCCACGAGAATGACATCGGCATATGCACCTTCCTCGATGACGCCAAGCTTTCCGTCTTTGTAGGGATTCATGCCTCCGCACCAGCTCAAGACTTCCGCGGCATCACCCGTGGCACTACGAAGCGCCGTGGCCGAATCAAAACCTCCCAAGGTCACCATTGCAATGATGTTAGCGGACTGGCGTTCCTGATTGCCTTTTCCAAACATGTCTCCACCAGAGATCAGGATGGGTTTGTATTCCCGGCAAAGTTTCATCATGTTGGCAGCGCCCGAGTTGACCATGGCCGCCTTGTTCTTTTGATCACGTGAGAAGAAGGTGATCAATTCAGGATCCGCAAAGACTTCGAGGGACATGACGGCTTGAATGCATATGGCAATACCTTCCTTCACCATACGTTTCATGCACTCTTCAGACATCAAGAATCCATGTTCTACACATTTGACACCGGCATCGAGGGCTCTCATAATGGACCTGTCGTGGTAGGCATGGATCATGACGTAGGATCCATAATCAGCAGCAACGTCACAGGCGGCTTTCATTTCCTCGAATGAACCCTCAGTAACGTGGATCGGGTCAAACGCAGAAGCACAACCACCACCTGCCATGTACTTGATTTGGGTGGCGCCATTGCGAAAGTTGTTACGGCAGGCACGACGGACTTCAGCGACGCTGTTGACAGGATTTGTAAAGCAAAACAAAGCAAAGCAAAGAATGAGAAGACAGTATGTGAATGTGCGTGTTTTAACCAGAGCATCCTGAACCTGCCTGTCACAAATATGGGTAACGCCGTGCTGTACCAATGTATCCGTTTGAAGGGGCATATCAAAGCAACATCCAGTATCACCATGCCCTCCAGTTTGAGAGATGAAGGCACCACATGCATAGATTCTCGGACCCATGATTCGCCCCAACCTCACGGCTTTGGCCATGCCCAAAACGTTGCCTCCGGCATCGCGTACCGTGGTGAATCCTTGATTGAGATAATCCAAGCAGTCGGCGGCACACATAGCACCCATGGACATTTGATCATACTCGTCGCGACCTAAAAAGAGGAGACGAAACCAACATATGATGACAAAAGCATCCGAAACCATTTTGTCGGCCATTATCACTTTTTGGGGAGTTTACTCTATTTTCTTACCTTCCAGCATTCCCTCTTGGAAACACAAGTGGGAATGCATATCAATCAAGCCAGGCATGAGGGTTTTGCCAGCGCAGTCCACAACGGCAGTCTTCTTGTCTGTAGGAGCTTCCAACCCAGATCCAACCTTGGTGATCAAGTTGCCTTCGATCAACACTTCGGTGGCTTCGATGTAGGCATCTCCCTTCCCGTTAAAGATCTTGGCATTCTTGAAAAGGATGGCATCGGCAGGGGCCTCTTCCTCGGGGGAACGGTAGCGGAGTGGCACGTACTCGGGCATGGTGGATGAACCACAATACTATATACTCAATCAACTACTTGGTAGTGAAGACAAGGTGTTTCAATTGCTTGGATCCAACAGCGTGAGAAACAGAGAATGACGAGAGGGCGAGCATTCAATGAGCAGCCTCTTGCATCGAGTTGGTTGGAGCTATTAATAGCTGAGAAACCGGATGTTCGATCTTCTTTTTGTGCTCTTGGATTGGGGTATTTTTCGTATCTCATTCGTGGATATGTAATTTAATACTTGACATTACTAGTATAATCACACATTTGGTATAAGTTTCAGCCGTTGTCAAACACGATTTCAATTTGATAAGAATTCTGAACAGGATGTTGGTCAAAGACTTCCCCATTTACCATAGCCACGGAGATTCCTGAAACCACTTACTCCAAAAACAGTTTTTCACTGGTATTAATCTGGATCTATTGCTTGGATCTTTTGTTAATTCTGTTTCATGGACTTTAAATGCCGTTTTAATTAAGTGGCTTAGAAGGGAGATTGTTTATTTATTTGGGCTGAGCTGCTGCCTCAACAACTGATAAATCTAATACTAGTACTCAGTAGTGCATTGTAATGTACAAAAACTGTTTTCTGCAAGTTCTTGGTAGACAATACTAGTAGAGAACTCAGTACATGTACTCGAGTAGCTATTTTGGTGGCAAAAGGAACCCACCCATCTACAGTGTAATCTGACACCAATTTCAGTAAAATTGTGTGGAGTGTAGAGAAATTTTGTCCAATCAAGGTGGTTTTGCTTGTGTCTGGCTACTGGCTACTACCAGTAGTAGCCAGCTAGCCGGCCAGTTGGATCAGGTACAAGGAAACACTAAACAAGGAAACACTTTTTGAGATCTCGTAAAGATACACACCCTCGTCATCTCAACATAATCCAACCAGCTCCTTGTAAGACGTATCTATTTAGTATTTGTTTATTGTGCTATCCAACCATGGTACCATGGTGTTTGGTTTCTTGACGGATTCTCGCACCGAATGGGCCGTTCGCTGGACGGTGATGCATGCCATTTGTTACGTGCTATTCTTCTACCCACCCACTACCAACTTTTATCTGGATTGGTCGCTCCCAGTTCAGTTGATTTCTGGTGGCAACTTGGCCTTTTACAACGCAGGGTTTCATGCCTGGTTTGGCTTGGGCGCCGCCTTTGCCATGACAGTTGCGGGTGCCATTCTCTCCTTGATCTTTCCTTTATTGCAAAATGACGAATTGCCATCCGCTTTTGTGGTATTGATGATCATTGTCATTGTTCTGGTGGCTCCCTTTTTTGTGGCAGGACACGGGTATATTGGTGTCTTGAACAATCTACGAAGCATTGGCATCTTGCTGGTCATTATCTTCTTGGAGGTATTCTATGGTCCCATTTTGAATTTGCGATCGGTGGAGGGATTCAACATCAAGGCTATTTGGACCGAAGTTGTAGGGCCCAATGCCATTCCAGCGCTGGCCTATGTGGCCATTTCCTGGGCTGTTTATGCCATACCTCCTTGGCATTCAGGAACCTATCAGATGCTCCATCTATCCAGCGATGTCATGGGTGGGGTAGCTGGCTGTTTGAAGGGAGCGGCAGATCTAGTACGTGGTTCTCAGCCCGAAAAGGAGCCAAATGAAGAGGCTAAGGATGATGATAATGATGCCCCTGCTGAGGAGCCTCCAACACAACCACCCTCCGCAAAGGAAACGTTCCGATCCATGGCCACGACGCTGATGCAGCAGACCAGTTTTGCTGGACTGTACGTTCCAATCTCCCTGTACGGTGACATGGGGGTATACGAGTCAAGTTTGTTCTTTCCACATTTGTCTCTAAGAGCAGACAGCTTTCAGAAACTTGGTCGCCAGCTAGATCGCACCGTTTACCATGTGGCATTGGTCTTGTGGGCCCTGGGAGAAGCCGTTGAACATTTGGATAAGGAAGACGATACGGAACAAGGCAGCATCGAAGCGAATCAATTGCTCCGTAAAGCAACAGCAGCACAACTCGATGCTGCTGCTGGTCTGGCCAATAGCATTTCCTTGGTCTTGCAATGTCCTCGAAAGACCTATCAACGAACACCCATTGAGACGAAACCTGCCACGGCGTCTCTTCGCGAGAGTACTTTGGGTACCAGCACGGCAGGAATCCGCTCCAGCACGGCCGGAGAGGGCACCAACGCCACCAGCGGTGGTGGCAGTGTTAGGGAAAACATTGTCACCAATCCGCTCCTGTTTGACGCCGTTGACTCGGCAGGCGCCAAGCGAGCTGCTACCACTGCTAAAGCCAAACAGATTGCCTACCAGGCCGGAATCAAAAGCGATCAAGTCGCCGAGAAGTTGGTGGATGTGACCAACTCGAGTGACAATCAGTTCATGGCCATGATCTTGTACGCGATCACAGCAGATCTCACCAGCGGACAACGCGAGTTTGTCCACTTTGACGGTGACGACTACCTGCCAATTGACCCGAACAACAACCGTGGCTCCTTGGGACGACTTCAATATGTGACCGAGACTCTTCAGAACTCTTGGACTGACAATACCGCTTGGCCCCGCATGGTGTATCGCCTTCTCTTTCTCGAACAAATCGAGGACCTTGTATTGACGTGGTTTCAAGGAATGGGCCAAATCTTGACGGGCAGTTGCTTTGCACCTGGAAACACCGTGCAACGCAGGAGAACCCTTGGTCGAGGTTTGCAATACCTGGTGGGCACGGTGGGTCTCTATGCCATGGCCACTTGGTGGCCCGCGTATTCTACCCTTTTGGGGAGTTCATCTACTGGGCAGTGGACAATGGTGTCCTTTTATGTTTGCTTTCGAGCCACGGCGGACGAGACAATTCATGCGGGTGTTCTTCGATCTATCGGGCATGCAATAGGAGCTATGTTGTCATGGGGAATCAATACAGGCGTCACAACCAGCGGGGGGCGAATTGGCTGTCATCTTGCCGTGACATTGGTGTTCACATGGTTGATTCCACCACCCTTTACGGTGGTGCCTTCTTCCTTTCAGTTTGGCCCGCTTGATATTTTAACAGTCAATCTTTTCGAAGGATTGCTGACGACTTATCACTTGACCAGTGTCTTGGTGCTCAGTACGGATATCGAATCCGCCACCAAAGCACGTGCCCTCTCGCAGTGTTTAGGCGCAGCTGCGGCGGTGTTCGTGACAGTGGTGATCCTTCCATGGTGGGCCAAGCCTGAAGCCGAGTTTACTCGTTCCAAGTTCCGAAAACATTGCAAGAATTCCTTGCAGAATCTCACCAAATCTGACAGGGGCGCTGTCTTGGAAGCTTCAGCAGCCGTGGAGAATCTCCTGCAAGCTCGACGGGATGTATCCTCTGCACAGGAAGCCTCTTCTTGGCTTTTCTGTTTCCCAAGTGCCGACGGTGGCCTCGGCGAGAGCTTGACGCGGGACGCTTTTGGTGCCGTCGCATTGGAAGCCATTGTGCAACGAGTTCAAAATGAAGGAAAGAATATGCCAGAAGATATAATTGCGGCTCTAAAAGCATCCAAACTCGGAGCTGCCCTCACTGCCATTCGACACGCCATCGGTGAAAGCAAGGAATCGAGACAAGACTTGGCAATTCTGTACATGGAGGTTCTTTTACTAGGAGAGAGTATGATAGCCAACTAGTTAAACTTGGCAATTTTGTACATGGATGTTATGTTCTGTTACAACGAGAGAGTTTGATAGCCAACTAACTAAATAAAATTGTTCTACATTGTGAATGGAGTTTACTGCATTATTTGGTTGGGAACAACTGTCGAACCATGCTCTCATGGGGCTCTTTCTCCGGAAGCACCTCCAGGGCCTTTTTCAACCAATACTGCGTGGCTCGTTGGGTCTTGTCCACCGTAGCCCGAGGTCCAATCTTTCGCAGAATGGTCAAAGCGGCGCCGGCTTCGCGGACACGATAGCATTCTAGCAAATCTTCTCGACTCTGTGTCGTCATGGAAGAGTCTCCTGCCACGAGCTGTTCTGGTAACCATTCCAATACGCGCCCGTCCTGTCTCGCGACAAACCCCAATGTGCACAAGAGGTCGTAGGCTCCTGGCAATTGGTGTACCATCTTGTACGATTTCGTGGTCGTAAAGATCAAACGATACCGTGGTGCATGAGGATTGGTGGGTAGATTGCTAATGTACAGGTACAGCATATGAATCGCTGCCTTGAGTGCCTCTGGTTGGTGTGCATTCTGTTCCACCAGATTCGTCAATGCCTCGCGCAACTTGGAGGTTACGGATAACGTCGTCGTCGTCTCATCGTTATCATCCTCCTCCATCTCGCAGGATGGTGACAACACGGTACCAATGTACGGAAAGCTGTTCTCCGGATGTTCCTCGTCGTCATCGAATAGAAATGGACTTCCGGAACCATCGGACAGCAGAGGCTGCGTCGATGCCGTCTCTACCCCGTGACCTGTTGGTGGATGATGATTCGGTGTCGTCTTGGATTCTGTCGTTTGTACGGTTGTCACTGTTTCAAAGCTGATTGCCTTGTCAATGATGCTGTCACTGCCGTCCTCCTCCTCCTTACAAAGTATTACTCGTTTGGTAGTTGGCTGCAATCCGTGCAGCATGGTCTGCAATAGCATCAGTGTCTCCTCGAGTTGTTTGCCCGTCAGGCTATTTTGATTATTGGTGGATGGTGTAAGATGCCTATAATGTTTGAGAGTTGCCAGTTGGACTTGAATTTCTGCCAGTTTGTACCACAGCATGGGATGTTGGAGGAGTGTCGTTGTTGTTGCTGTTGTTGAAGTTGGAGGAGGATGTTTCGTTGTTTTGTAGTTTGCAACCTTATCGGTGTGGTCTTGTTGCTGTTTCGTGTCGTCGTGGATGTTGTTGGATTCAGCAGCACCATCTTGGTCGCAACCACCATTGCTGGACGCTAGACGTTGCAAGATTTGTTGCTCGACAGTGACATGTTGTTGGAGAGTTTCCGAAAGGCTCCGGATGGCCTGGTCTGGGATAGTGTCATCCAGTGTGCTACTATCGTCACAATCTTCATCATCCTCTTGTGTCCTGGACATTGCAGTGGTACTATGTCGGTCACCAGGAGGATCACTGGAAGTCACACGGCTAGTGGCATGTCGGTTACCAGGAGGATCACAACTGGAAGCAACAGCAATACGAGTAGTAGTATTGGTATTATGATTGGATGTGGAGAGACGAAAATCACCCCCATTGAACCACCGAATCGTGGCGGCCGCCAGCAATCCCAAGAAACCTCCTATAGTGGCGCTGAACGCCACAAGGCGGCTGATGGAGACACTATCATCGGCTCTTCTTCTTGTGGTGGAACTTGTAGTAATGCGATTTCTGTAGTGATTGTGGTTATAGTGTGGGGAAACAAGCGGATGTTGTGGAGAACCTGTGCTAATATTTGTGTTTTCGTGAGTTGGTGGTGTCGATTGTCGTGTAGTAGGAGGTGGTAACAGTGGCTGCTGTACTTTCAGGGATGATGTCAAATTGATCTGATCCCATGCCATGTCCATTTGGTCCTTCCGAATCCCTTGTTGCTTCATCAAATAGTCTTGTTTTTGAGCCGGTGACACATCCTTCAGTGCAGGATGATTCCAGAATTGCACAATCTGATCAATCACTGCCTCCTGATCATTCCTCCTCTGCCGTCTTGGTGGTGAACGATTCTCCATGCTGTGGTTGGAGGTGTGACATGTGTGGGAAGCTTCTTTCGCAGCGTCTTGCGACTCACACGAGGCCCTCGCCTTATTGGCTCTGCCTACTTCTTCTACTTCTTCTACCACAAGTAGAGGGTTCTTTGGATCAACCCCAGGAGATCTGGTTGTGCCGTCATCCGGAGAAACATTCTTCATCGTCGTCATCTACTACTAGAGTGTTGCGGTGCTACCGGTATTGAACTTGATTGTGGCGTTCTTCGTCGTCTCATAGCGACGCTTCCGGTACTGATGTAGTCGCCTTACTACAATGTGTAGTCAACCGTCAAGGGGATGAGCAAGTCGAATGGATACTAATACCCTCTCCTCGTAACGATGCATGCAGAGGTGACGTGATGATGGTTCTTCCTCCTTGCTTGCATTCCGGTTCTGATGATGATGCCCTCGTGCTTTGCGTTTGCTGACGAAAGAACGAGAACAACAACTTGAAAGGCGAAAATTTTGAATGTGCTTTGGAGGAACGCTGACGAAGTTAGAAAGCTGGGCGATGCTTAGATCGCCACAGGAAATCTGCCTCAACCCGAAATTAGCGATCGAATTCGTATTTTGGGACAACAACAGCGTTTGGTACCAGTACGTATGGCATGCAGCTAATCTATCAAACGAAAGGATCCACACAACAACAAAATCAAAAAAGAGGTTTCCACCATGAACAGGAGATCGGGGCTACCATCTTCTCCAATTAGCACTGGCTGGAGGAGCACCACTGTGCCGTTCGACAACAATGGCAAGATACACACTAGCCGCAGAGCCCTGATGCGCCACCTATGGATCACTCCCAGTCTATGGTTCCTCCTCTTTGGTGTTTCTGTGTTGTGTGGTGGCCTCTTTGCCGGCAGCGTGATCTTTACTAGGTATCACAAGCAAACAGCCGTACCCAAATCTGCACCGCAGCTATATGGAATGATGGAACACAATGAAGTCTCCTATCAAGGGTATCTTGATTGTTTGAAAGATCCCAACTGTGACAAGTACAAGTCTCCCACAAACAGCAACAACACGACGTATCCACACGATTATCCAGGACATCCATGGCACTGGACACGCGTCAATGCTCCCGATGCCACACTCGACAATAAACGAGACTGCCAGAACAATCGCTATCGAGACTTGTACGAACAATTCCACCAACAAGGATTCGTCATCTTTCAGAGTTGTTCCATGCAAGCCACGGTCTTGGATAAAGTCGAAGAATACACGGCGACCATTCCCAAAGCGGCAGGCCGGGTTCAAACGGCACCCGTCACCGCCGTCAAGGAACTCGCGGCCGACCCGGATACCCTCGAATTCGTTCGCTATCTGCACGGTGGACGACGTCCCTTTCCCTTTCAAACACTCAACTTTCCCACGGGAACGCAGCAAGGCATTCATTCCGATTTGATTCATTTTGATACCATGCCCCGGACGCTCATGTCGGCTGCGTGGGTCGCATTGGAAGATATGAACGACGACAATGGACCTCTTCGGTACTTTCCAGGTGAGTTGGCAATAGTATACAAGTAAGTAGACTTGCACAGTCCAAAACATTGTCTCACCTATTCTTGCTGTACTATATATACGGTGCTGTAGGCAGTCACCACTGGGGAACGTGGGACTACGATGAAATTGGCTTGACGGTCAAGGGCGTTCCGAAAGGACAGCAGTCGCAGGAAGTGTATTCACAAGAGTTGGAACGGCTCGCCGTCAAGGCTGGTCTCGAAGAACAAAGGGCCAATACCATGAAGAAGGGACAATCACTCATTTGGGCGGCGGGATTGCTCCATGGTGGGGCACCACAAAATAATCCTGCTCTGACACGGAAATCGCAAGTCACGCACTACTATTTTGAAGGAGCGCAATACTACTGGGTCCCGCACCTTAGCGACATTGCCAAGGGAGAAATCTTTTACCGTGATGACGCTCCTCGATGTACATCGGCCGACTATGCACCCAAACAAATCCTATCGTGTGCCGACGAGCAGACGCAGCGATTCGTCAATCAGGTGCCATAGCTCAAGAAAGACCAACAATCATTGTACTCTAGCTAGAGTACTGTAGTCGGCTGAAAAAAGAAATTTGAGGGAGAACGAAAGCAAGCCTGAGGTGAACAAAGAGTTGCGAGGTGGGTATACAAGGAAAATTCTCCTGCGCGTCGACTGGAAGCAGAGTGACAATTAGGCAGCGAGTCAGTCCAAGGATACTATTAGTGTAGGTAGTTTCTAGACAGTATCTTCATCGTCTCTATTGATTATGTAGATGATGCAATACCGAAACAGTGCAAGTTCATTCATAGCTGCATGTGCGCTTTGATCGCTCCTGAAGCCCCGTCGCAAGAACTCATGGCTCGGCAGGTGCGTACGTTTCTTGATTGGCTGCTGCGATGCCGCAACAATGTAGGGAATTTCAGCGCAGCATCGCACTGTTTTGAGTGGAGTGGGGATCGACCTGCATGAAAGCCGCACGGTATCCCAGCCTGAAGCACGGTACATATACAGTAAGGTGCAGTGATGGATGACTGCTTTGGGGTTGAGATAAAGGTTTTTTAAAAAAGGTATGCTACTGTACGGTAAAACAAGTTTTCAACTGCGCCAGCTTGCCCAACCAATTCAATAGGTTTTCTTGCAAAGATCCAGATTTTCATGTGAAGTCTCTTCCCGAGAACCACAGTGACCACTAAAATCAAGGGACACACGGTAGAGCACAACATGCTCAACTGAAGAACATCGCAGCGGTCGAGCGTAACAGACTGTTATCAGGAGCAGCATGCATTCAAAGCAAACAGAGAAAGATCAGCATCCAAGGGAAGTGGGAGACTGGGTCTCTGTATACGGTAATTTGGCAGACCACCCATTCAGTGCCCACAGAGCCAATGTTCTCTTCAAGCTTCATCTTGAACTGACATCTATGTTTGAGCTTGCAGCAACTACTCTCCGTCAAGAAGAGCACCTTGCAATGCTGACTGTCAATGGCAATGACACCATCACTTTGTCTCACCACCTTCGTGCTACAAGCTACTCAAGATCTGATGGCCCATTCCACCATGATGTGTTTGTGGTTTTTGGTCTGATTGGAAAAAGTGCTTTGGCGCCTCTCCTTCAGTTGGATTTTATTGATGGCTCTATTTTTGAGCAGATTGATGTGGTCACCCCTGCAAACAGCCGTTTGCTTAAAGCAGCACAGTCAGGTTGTCAACATCAATTTGCCAACCTTCAAATCCTTCCTGTTGAAGATGAGTACCAGCCAAGTGACCTGGCTGATGTGCAAACAGACATGAAAAGCTTCATCTTTGTTCCTCCACACATATCAGTCATGCTGCTCAAAGCTCCAAACTACATGCCACCCTATGTGGCAGCCCACAGCGTTCTTTCTTCGTTCAAAGGATTTGATGAATCATCACCAGAATATGGTTGTATTTGTTCCATTCTCCGCTGGATTTGGTGTGCTCAACAAGGTCTCCTGAAGTCAACTGTCTACAGGATCCCAGATGACGACGACTGTGGAAGCAAGATCGCAGCGGCCCTGAAGAAATCCTACCTGGTTCCTCCTAATCATGGACATTCATTTGATCAAATTAGCTGCAGCATGGAAACCATTGGGACTCAAGATGATAGTTCTGACAATGCAGATGTGTCTTGCCTGGACACTGGAGTTGCTGCTCTGGAGAGGCAATTGACTGTTCCAATGGGCCTGCAACAGCATCAAAATCAAGCTAGAGTGCAGGAACTGATGGATATTACCAAAAGAGTACAAAGTTTGGAAGCACAGATTGTTGAAATCAGGACTGAGCAAGAAGGAAGGCTCGCTGACCTAGACACAAGGATCACAGCAACAGGAGACAAGCTTGAGGTCAACAAAGCGGAACAAGCAGTTCTTGCCACGGGTGTCCAGGCAGTTGGGTCCATGGAAAAGGACTTGAGCTCAGCATTGTCAAGAATGAGAACAATGGAGGAAATCCAGATTGGCCAGTCTCAGTCCGGAGCACAGCAAGTTGCACAAGTTATGGCACTGGCCAAACAGATGAAACTCTTGAGAGCTGACTTGCCCGGCAACCTCAGGCAGACTATTGACACCCTGGTGGCACATGACAGGCAGGTATTCAGCGGCAGTGCAGACAAGTGGGACTATTGAGGATGGCCAACCTGATGGAACGTGAGAGTTGACACCTCTCATTGCCATTTCCCACCTGAGAGTACCCCCCACTACTTTACATCTCTGGCTGGTTCAAGTTACCATTGGATGACTACAGGTGCAACTTATATATGGTCCGACATACAATTCATTTACTGTGTCAGTTCGTGGTACCGAGAATTTTGAAGTAACAACAGTTCTCGCCAGGGAACACAACTGGAAGCTTCATTGGGTTGCCTTCCTCTAGTGCACAGCAAAGAAATGTGTAGATGGTCCAATGTGTGCTAATTATTCTTTTAGTTTAAAAATGCAATGTGACAACATCTTCAAGGCACAAGTAAGTAAGCTTCCTTTCCACTAAGCCCTACTAGTAGTGGTGTCGGTTGTATCACTGTCTTTCTGGGGCTCGGCTGGAATTCGGAAGCGCAAACCGTACTCCGCCTCGTAGACACCCTTCTTCCGAGCGCCATCAGCCCAATACTTCTTCCCTACCAAGGCCGAGGTTTTTTCGCTCTTGAACTTGACCAGCTCTTCCCTGACATCCGCCGGGATGTGCTCGCACTGGACACAGAGGTGGACACTGGCCAAAGTCTGACATGCCTGGTAGAGTAGTTCCAGCTTGAAGGGGTAGTACATGGCGGCTCGTTTGCGCATCCTTGGAGCTTGGTGGCTGCACCATCGGCAACGAACGCCCACCTGACCCAAGGCAATGGGTCGATTCCGGCCACGGGTGTTGCTCGAGGAATCTTCATCGTCGGCTTCAAAGAATTCCATATGCTTGCGAGCCAAGGCATGGTAGGCAGAGAGCCGCTCGTCATCTCGTGTAATGTATAGGGCCACGGCAGCTGTACCAGTCATGCCAGTAACAGAAGGGGCACTCGAGCAGTGGTCTTCGTCCTCGTCCATCTCGCTATGTTTCCGCTTGGTCGGTCTCGAACCTGACGGTGGCTCTACTGCGGCTTCGGGAGAAGTGACGGAACTCGTTGACAAACCAGGAGCTGGGGCAGCCGCAACAGCAGTTGTGTTGATGACACTTGGAGGAGAAGAAGGGTTCAAGAGGCTTGTGATTTGAGCAATCAACGCAGAATTGGGTCCACTGGGAACAGTAGCACTTGCATTTAGAGAAGGTGCAGTGATCACCGGAGCTCCCACAGAGGCACCCGATTGGAGAGCATGTGCGCTCTGATTGGTAGTGGCAAGTGTTGGCAAACCTTGTCCATGGGTGGTGGCCTCATGATTGTTGGGTGCTCCTGCAATCGTAATGAGCTGCTCGATCGCCTTTGTCAGCTGAGCATTTGAAGGTGTGGAGGCATTTTGGCCACCCGTAGTGGTACCGGTACCGGTGCCGTTTGTGGGAAGTGCCGCAGTTGGCTGTGACAAGTGACCAATCATCCCATTCGTTGCGGAAGCGGAAGGAGCTGAGGGAGCAGCAGCGTTGACTTGTCCAAGCGACGTCGCCATGGGCTGAGCCGCGGCAGGTCCGCTACTCAGCGCGCTGCTGTTGCTTCTGCTGGACAAGTTCATGAGGCCTGCGACTGCATCGTAGCTGTTGACTTGCGGTGCGGGAGAAGGCGGCACTTGATTCAACAATCGGAGCTGGACCAGCTGCTGGAGCACAGTCCTCGCCTGGATGTCGTCTCCACGCGATGAACCATTTGTCAACAGGCTAAGGAGGGCCTTCGTGTGAGGGAACTGATCTTGCTGAGACGAAGCGGCGGTGCCCATGATACCAGTAGTTTGCCCCGCCAACATGGGGTCCGCTGCTTGACGAAGGGACAACCCTGCCGGATACCCGATGTTGCTTCTGACACCTGACATTCGGGAGGTTAGAGTGGTATCTTGTTGTAGCATAAGGTTCAGCTGACCCGCGAGAGGTGCTGAGGAATGTGCGAGAGCCTCCAAACGAGCTGAAGTTCCTTTTTTCAAAATAGGTAACAATATGCAACAGCATGAGAGACGGCTTCTCGTTGTTCAAAAGAAGTACAAGCCGTTCATTAAAAAAAACAATGGTCATAAAGTGCTTACCATTGACTCCAGACGAAAGCAACCCATTCGCTGCAGCCATACTGGGAATCGAGATCTGGGCGATGGGTGTGGAAAACGCGGAGCGTTCGTAGCCTTCTACAAGAGCGCTACCTCGCCTCCTCTTGCCATTGTTGCGGTCCGCCATGAGTATCCTGCTAGCCTGTTTGCGATTGGTTTTTTTGACAGGAGTTATTATAAAAAAGGAGATTCCTGAAATATTCAGGTGTTTTCACGTGGATTTTGGTGTGGTCAGGTCGCTCGTTGCCCATCAAATCTGCGATGGTCTAGCTAGAAGGTAACGTTGTCACACCGGTAACAAAACTTTCAAGATCATTGTTCCCGTGGATTGAAGATCGAATCATTCGGTGTGTTTTGCGGATGATATTCCAGCAAGGTCCGGAACCAGACTGCAATCTTTTTTGGACAGTTTCTCAAATGAGAAAGTAGTTTCTCATTTGAGAAACTAAGTTCTGAAATGAGAAAGTTAGTTTCTCATTTGGTTGAAATGAGAAACTATCTTTTGAAATGAGAAACTATATATGAAACTGCTAGTACATGTGTTGTGATTTCTGCCAGAAATGAGAAACTATTTTATCAAATGAGAAACTAAAACTGTTAGTTTCTCAAATTGAGAAACTAAAAATGAGAAACTAAAACTAAAAATGAGAAACTAAAACTGTTTGAAAAATTTCAAAACATCATTGGGGTTTCCTGACCTTGCAGTTCCAGCAAGCTAGAGCAGTAGATGCCTTGTCGCACCGGTAACCAAAGTTTCAAGAACTGCAGAACTTCCCACCTGCTGTTCCAGATTTAAGGATCCAACAAGTGTGTGCGGCGTTTCGGGGGGACAGCCAGGTGTTGGTGGTGGTGGTAGCGCAGTAATCAGCTTACTAGTCTAGTAGTAGTTTCACGTTTTACCACACCTTCTAATCTGGTGGAAATGTCTTGAGGCCTCAGGCCAGTCACTGTTCCCCGCCATCATCCTACTTTTATTTAGGACCGGTTTACCCAGCGTTTGACTTCATCCACTTCACTTACCGTACTTTTCGGCAGGAATCGGCAGCAAACACTGGTGGGTTTGGGCTTGTTCCTGTCCTGTAACTTCAACGTGGTGTCCATCTCACACTGACGTACGACGGAGTTATCTGGTTCTTTCATCTGGAGGAATACCGCAGAGCAATACCGCGGATCTGTATTATTGACTGTTCCGGGAACGTAGCGAGCTATTTTAAATAACACCGTAACTGACCGTAACTGTTGTCGAGGCATTCCGCCTACAGTGCTATCTAGCGCAGCGCACGTCATTCAGGACTCGACTCGACTCGACTCACTCGACTCGAGGCGGTACTAGCTAGCCAGTAGGCACCGGTAGCTATTTTGGCCTACCGGGTCCACTCGTCGTACCCTGCCAACTGAACTCTCCTTGCCACGAAAGCAGAGGGGAGGACAATATAATCGCACAGAACATTGACGAATGGCCAAAGAATTGTGCTGTCTAAGTTAGTTACTACTCTTTCCTGACGTTGCCTGTGGCGAAGTAAAGTCAGTCATCATTCAATACAAACATGGTCGTAACCTGCTCTTTAGTACCTAGGTCCCGGGGCCGGAGGAATCTCCAGTCGCTTTGAATGGAGCCTGAATCAAACTGATCGGCAGCAGCGCGATTTGCTTGGGGATACTCCACGAAGCCGAGTATTTACCTCTTCGGTCGCTTTCCTCTTCCAGCAGGAGATCCCAGCGCCCCTTCACGGGGAGCCCCTCCGAGCGCTCCGAGCAAGTCTTGAAGGCAACAGTGTGGTATGTGTCATTGTTGTGGAGATAGAGACCGTTGTGGGCTTTGAAGATGTAGGAATTGTCATAATCACAATGAATCATCTCAAATACCTCATAGTCTCCCACTGCCTGGCGATACTCTGCCAAGCTGCTCCGGGTGCCACCAAATTCCCTACGGCACGAGATGTAACCTCCACCCATGCCATTACTATTTACGCATTGGATAGTCACACGAAGGGAAACTGGTTCCTCGCTTTTCTCGGCAAGGCGAATGTATTCTGCAGATTCTAGACAGTTGATCCTGAATTTTCCTCCTTTGGCAATGGACAAGACGGGGTTGACCAAGCCATGGTCCATGAAGCTCCCGTTCTTATTGTTCCAAAAGTAGAAGCCATCTTTGTTGTTGACGATCTGTGCAAGCGTCTTCTTGGAAGAGACGATGCTGGACATTCTTAGGTTGTTGCTTTTGTCGCTCATTGTTTCAACGGTTCTTTTGGTTCTGTGAAAGACAAGCGTTTGGTTTGCTGATTAGATTTTTATGAAAAGCTCAGTTTCGTAAAGGCTTGGATATGTTTGTCCTCTGGAAGCTCCTCTGGCGATGATGGCCTGTGTGTTTCGCGAGGGCCAGTGGAGGGCAAAGGGCCAAAGGTGCCAAGCTCTGGATAGTAAACCTGGACCTGCCTGCACGACTGGTACCGGTACATGTTCCGGTACAGCTTCAGACAGGTTGGTTGTGCAATAACTAGACTAAGCCTTGTATCTTGTATCTCACCGCGGAGTGGCAATTAATTAAAGGGTTTTCAATTTCTCACACATGCTGCAAAATTCAACAAAGCCCCTGCCCGAATGAAAGCGTCAAATAAATCACCACAGAGCTTTTCCCTTGAGGCCGTCCGACGATTTTCACTCACGATTTTTAAAAAAGCTTAAAATTTCGAGGACTGGAAACAAGCGAGTAAACAAGCCCTTAAATCTTCAACAATCATTAAAACAAGCCCTCTTCGTTAAGCCTTCGTGTAAATCCCTTAGAACCATCCCTTATCAGAAGCAAACAAGCTTCTAAATAAACAAGCCCTTAAAACAAGCCCTTAAAGCTGCAAATAGCCCCTAATTAACAAGCATATTATATAAACTCGAGTCGAGTCAGTCGTGTCAAGTTTTAGAAGCCTTGAGTGAAATACGTCGGACGGTTCAGACTTGGTACAGTACGGTACTGGTACGACTGTACTGTACAGTATGTACCGTGATACTTACTTGGTACAGTACCAATACCAATACCGGTATTACTACTAGCTAGCTAGGATAGAAACGCCATGAGTTGGCAGTCTGCCCTTGGCTGTTCCATTTTCCTCAAAGAAGACAAATAATTGATTGTGTCGGGATGAACCCAACTTCCGCGTCAAATGCATGGCCGTACTAGTACGGTACAATGCAGAGCCAGCGTTCTTGGTGGCACTGCCTTGTTCGCAACTCGGATGACAAATAAACTCGAAATTCCATTTTGCGGGTTTTCTTATGAAAGCCGCAACGCCTCTCTATGTCATGTCTGTTACGTTTGTACTATGATATGATACACTCAACTCTGGAAACTAATAAGTACGTAGTTCATTATTACGCCAACCGCTCTACCGATTCCAAACTGCGATCCCCTCGTGTAAATACCACATGGTAAACTCTCACTTCGGCATTGTCAAAGAGTGGCGAATCCGTCAATCCCAATAATCCTCGTTCCATTTCTCGCAAATACCCCTTGTGACTAATAATGAGTACATGTCGATGACTCATTTCCATCAATACATCAAATAGTTTGCTGGCTCGTTCTCGCAATTGCGTCCGGGATTCTTCGACTTGGAGTGCGTGTCCGGTCAATGCCTTGCCATGATGATGAAAGCGATAATTGTTTGACGACGACGACGAGTCCGTGTTATTGTCCAATTGTTGTTCTGGTTGTTGTGGCTCTTGTGGCTCTTGCTGCTGCTGTTGCGTCCAATGATAGAGTTGATCGGGTGTTTGGGGAGTATCAGGTGGATATTGGGTTTGTCGTTCTTGAATTTCCGGTCGAATATGGACCAACAAGGTACTTCGGCGCTGACCCCGCCGTGGCGATTCTTCCGTTGTTGTATTGTCGTTGTCTTTTGTTGCTTCATTGTTAATATCCAGTCGTTCGGAAGGATCTTCATCGTCATCTGGAATGTCAAATTCGTGTTGCAAATGTTGTTGCAATAAAATATCGGCCGTTTCCAAACACCGACTGAGGGGAGATACCATGGCCTCGGTGGGTGGCGGGGCCACGCCACGGTCAATTAATTCGGCCAAATATTCTCCCGCTTGTTTGGCTTGTTGACGTCCCAATGCCGTGAGAGGCGCATCAAAGAGAGTGGCATCTTGCAAGACGGCTTTGCGAGCCGCTTCCATTTGTTGGGCGATTTCGTCGGGCGTGCAACTCGGTTGTTGTTGGAGCGCCATTTGTCGGGCGGTTTCTTGGGCTTCCGCTTCCTTGACATTGTGCAAAGCTTGGCCGTGTCGAACCAAATAGAGGGTTCGACGACGATGCACCGAGGATGTTCGAGTGAAATGTTTGGGAGCTTCTGCTTCTGCTGCTGTATCACTATTATTCATGGTGCCTTGCTTACTAAAATAAATTGGTGGCAGGTGTTGTGGTTGCTGCCATGGGGTGAGAGAAAAGATTGGATCTTTTGGATTCTCAAAAAGACGGAAAGATCCAACGGACGACGGCCAGGCAAGTTACCGGTCACGTACCGTTTTTGCTCTTCGTACCGGTAGGCGAAGAATTAACGCTCACTGGTAAATCTTTCGTTTGGCAAGACCAAGAAGGGGAAGTCCGTCCAGCTCCCCCTCCTTCACTATTCATCCATCATCTTCTGATCTTCTGTACTCACTGTTCATCAATTCTGTGCTCAGGCTCATTGACTTGCTTGGTGTTGTCAACCAAATCTGCACAGCAACAAACTTTCAGGTGTCACCTTTACAGCACTTGCGAGTAATCGATTGTGCAATACATAATACCAGCTAGCTAGAGAGCCAACACAAGATGCAACGACCGAATGGACGAGACGACTATGATGTGGACGAGATGATTGCCGTTCTCGAGGGCGAAGCCGATGTGGACTTGTACGACGACGACTACTACAAGTCTGGTGCCCAAAAGGAGGAGGATGTCGATGACTACAGTTCCATGACGGGTCTTCCTACTTTACAGCCAGCAACAGCTACAAACGATGAAGAAAAATCAGAAGAAGATCTGCGTGCCTCCCAAGCCGCCATGAAACAGGACATGGAAAAGATGCAACGGCAAATGTACCGCTTCATGAGAGCCAGCATGCGAGCTTCTTCGAACAGAGGCATTATGGGTGGTTCGAGCAGCAAACGATCGCAGCGGCGCATGGAAACGGCACAGGGTGAAGACGATAGTCTCTTGCTCCGCGAAGAAGAAACCGAGTCGGGAGTCTCTGGAATGGATCTACTGCCCATTGTCGAGTCGTCCACAACGCGTGACACAGAAGTTCCCGTGGAAGAAGAAGGAGACCGTCGCGCTGCCTACCGTCGTCTATCGAGTTTCTTTCATCGACTCCAACGTCGTGATGGTGGAGTCGGCGATGGAGGAGTTGGAGAAGAAGTTTCGGAATCACGACCATCCATCATGTACGGTCGCTCCAGTGCCGACAAGGCATTCAGCAAAACATTGCTCAACTTTTTTGGACGAAACTACGCTGACGAAGATGACGACTTTATGGATCAACTTCCACAAGATTCTTTTAGTCTTCTCATGACATCGCCACTCTGTTCCATTTCCTTTGCCGCCGCATTCATGGTCTACGCCGTCCAAGTCTGTACCTTCTTTCTCATGTTATCCAATCTACTCGAAAAGAGCAGTGATCCCGGCAATCCACTCGGTGTTCCCGCCAATGTCACACCCGCCGTCCGAGTCACACAGGTCATTCTACTCACCATTACGGCACTCTCCCAAGATGCCATTCGAACCGGCATTGCACTCTTTTTCAAGGGATACACCAATCCACTCGAAGCGGCATTTTCTCCCTATCTGAGTTGCTTCAAATTTGTACTCGTCAATTTACTCCGCATTGCCGAAGGAGGCTGTGGATTGGTTGTGACCTTTTTACTCGTCTTTGATTCCGAATCCGTCATTGACTTGTTGCTCAACTTTACCGCCGTCGAATTCATTTCTCAATTGGATGAAATCTTTTTTGGATTGGCCGCCCAAGGATTTTTAGGCCGGCATATTAAAGAACAAGCCGGAACAGTCAAGGATACCAAATATGCGGCCCATACGGTGATGAGAGATCCCCACAATCCCAGTGCTGGAAAAGAACGCCGAGGCGTACGGTTGCATCTCATCTTGTTGGTCACGTGGTTGGCACTCATGGCGGCATGGGTATTCCTCATGGTCAATCAGACCAATGGAAAGTATCAGTGTCAATCCTTGACCATTCAATTTGAAGATGATTTTGTCAGTTCGTTGGGAGCATTTAGTGGCATTTATGATATTGACTCCTCCAAGAGTATCCCCTTTCAGAGTGATCGGGTGCGATACATTGATCGCATGTCGGGAAAGGCGGTATTTGCCTATTGTGTCAATCTGCAAGCGTGGACATTTAGTTTTGCAGAAGATGGAGACTTTCCAGATCCTTGTACGGACTGGGTTGGTGAGTTTTAGTTGTGTATAGATTTATTTATCGTGGTCAAGTCAACAAGCGTGCAACGAAATCTCACTTCCAAGCCCCATCTCTCTACTTTCCTAGCACATGCCGATGTTTCCAAGACATTTGATATTCTAGAGACTCAATCTCACGATTGGTAAGCTAGCTCACTGCAGACGCTCAGAAACTGTTCAGGACAACCCGAACAAAGTTGCTCATGTTTTTTCGCTATCTTCTTCTCAGGACCGTTCGCAACCCCGAGAATCAGGAAATCACCATTGGGCATTTCTACATGAAGTGCGTGGACTGGTAAGTAAAAGAAGGAAGGCAATGGGTTTGTCGCGAATGAATCCAATTCTCCTCACACAGGCACCCTCCATGATGGCGTTTCCAGTGACCAATCGGATGAGTGGTCAGGGGAATGCAATGGACACGGCACGTGCTCGAATGCTATTTGTCAATGTGATGAAGGCAGGTACGGGATGAGATGCGAGTTCCTCGCGCCGTGCACGAGACTGGAAATGGACGTTCGATTTGACGGATTTGTGGATGAGCGAGAATGGTCCAGAAACTATGAATTGTTTGTGGTTGACGGAGAAGAGATTTATGCATACAGTCGCCCAGTGTACGTGAATGAGCCCAAACCAGGACAGTTTGACGTTGTCGCCTTTACCGGAAGAAGATGGATGGCGACACACACGGATGCGCTCCTCAGCGCAAATGTGACTGCAGTGGAGGATCCAATGGAACGAAAGCGCCGATTGGGCAAGTACTTTTCGGATCACTTCCATGCATATTGGTCTGACTTTGCCGCCACCTTCATTACAGCGCCAATGGACATTGGCACGGAATATGATTCTGCGACACCAGTGGAGCTTGAGTGGCACGTGGCAAAGGCCAAAGACTTGGCGCATCCCCACGAGGTGCAATTTGTCGATCGTTCCGTTGCTCCACTGGATGGGGTGTTCCTGTGTAGTGTTTGCCACAATGAGACCAACCCCTGTTTGAACGATGGGACTTGTGTCGATGGGCAGTGTGAATGCCTGATTGGTTCCAGAGGAAGCGTCTGTCAAGTAAGTTACAAACAAACTGTTGGAAATAATCCCATGAACTGCCTTGATCCCCTTCTCATGTCCTGATCTCCTGAACTTGTCAGATCCCGCCGACAGGGAATGGGCGCTGTGACCCACAGTTTGATATACCCAGGTACAATTATGACGGTGGGGATTGCTGCGAATCCACTTGCACCAGCGGCGATGTATATCATTGCGGAAAGGACGAGACAGGCTTCGTTGACCTTGGCTACTTCTTTTGCATTCATGAAGCTGACGAGTGGCATTTGAATCGAGCAAGCTTTCACGATATTTCAGTGGAGTCCAGATATTCAATGGCCTTGTCAGCAGATGGGCACATGATGGTATTGGGAAAACCAACCGCCGGTCAAGTATCCTTGTATGATGCTGACGGTAAGTCGATGTGCCCAAACAAGGACAGTCGTACAAGGGTTAAAACTCATCCCACCGTTACGCTTTTTAAGGGTCCGAGTGGGTGAGACGGGGCCGTGTACTGGAGGGTCCCCTTGGGTCACAATTTGGCGCCCACGTGGCCATGTCCAAGGGATTGAACAACACCGTACGTAACTTTTTGCATGTTGATCCAGTGCGGATCGCTGTAAGTGGCCGTCATCGAACAGAAGGATTCGTCCGTATGTATGAGTGCTTGACGGAGGGATGCTCTCAAAGCGGAGAGGACATAATCTTTCAAGGGCTCCAAAGAGATTCTCGTACCGTTCAGGACGTTTCCAGCGATGGTAACATTCTGGCCTTTGGAGGATTCAATGCCACGAAAAACTCAACAACAATTCGATTCTACCACTATGAAGAAGCTGTAGACGCCTGGAGTCCTCAGGGAATCACCGAACTTGAGTTTGAGGGCGACGCCTATGCGCTTCATCTCTCTGGTGCGTTTGACACCGTAGCAATCCGCAGCCTTTCCATTTGGGAAGCACAGGGCATTGACGAGTATCACAGGAACTTTGAAGCCACGGATGCAAAGGCTGTATTCCATTATGATAGCCAATCCAACAGTTGGGAACAGATTGGGCACACTATCTATCACCACGTCGATGGTGCGGGAAACTCAAACAACCCAGACGACTTTCACATGCTGGGCACTAGACATCGATTGTCAGAATTCCTTCATGGCTCGGACTCGATTGCCATTAGCGCGGACGGGCTTGTGATGGCTGCTGGCTTCCCGTTCAGCACAGAAGACCCCGGAGTTCATGTCTACGAGTTTGACCCGGTTGTTAGGGAATGGGTCGACCGGGGCCATACCATCAAGAACAAGTTGGCAGATGGATTCAAAGGATGGAGTGTTGCTTTGTCTGGCGACGGCGAGGCTGTCGTTGTGGGCACAGGAGGAGACGCTACGGCAACCAACACTTATTTTTGGGATGGCCACGACTGGGTTGAATATGGTCACAGTCTCAGCGGGGGAGAGTTGAGTTCAATGGCGCTCTCCGTGGATGGTTCCGTGCTGGCTGTGGCGGGTGACACGATCAATGTCTTCCATCGCAATATCGAGACACACTGCGCCCCTGACAAGAAATGGTTTCACTTGTCCTTGACTTTGGACGCGCATCCCGAGGACACGCGATGGGAGCTGATATCCAATACAACGGGTGAACAGTTCCTATCGGGTGGCCCGTACATTGGCAATCCACATGGCTTCCCGTACGGCGACGCTTACGAACGGTCGACGATTGTTGTGGAAACATGTGTCCCTCGAGACGATTGCATAGTCTTTTCCCTCTACGACAAACTGGATCCCATGACGGACTACTTTAGAACTCCCGATGGAAGTGAGTGCACAGCAGAAACGGATGGAGTTGCTTGCCCCTTATTTGCATCATTCATGGAACGCTAACGATTACTTCCTTTCTTCTTTTTGCTTACAGTGCTTTCCCCTAGTGTTTACTTAATGTCGGTGGATGGTGTGGAAGTGGCCACAAGACGTCTGGACCAAGCCTGCGATCACTATTACATTGGCGACTCTTGTAACGTCTGCCCCGAAGGGTTTCACGCCCTCAAAGTTCTGGTGCGGACATGTGTCCCATACTTCTTTACCCTCCAAGAAGCCACCGCGGGGCAAGTATTGGTGGGCGACAACTCGGATCAGTTTAGCAGTGATGGTTTCGTTTCCTACATTCGCGATGGCACGTGTCAGAATTTGGGCTTGGAAGTGCACTCGTACTGGGAAGAATCCTGCGTTCATGTGGCCGATTTGGAGCACGATTGCTTTGCATTTGATCTCGGTGCCCACCCCAATTGGCCCGTTGTCAATCCCAACAATAGTGGTAATGAAACGGAACTGGACCACGCCCACCGCAACACGGAAGTTGTGATCATCTTTGACGACCAACAGATCAATGTGGATCTGGCTTTGGTTGGCTCAATGGATGCCGGTCCACCTTCCGAAATTCACTTTACGTTTGGAGGTGCTTGTCCAGGCGACAGCACTGGTGGTCCAGCCCACAAGTAGTCGTAATGGACTACTTCAACACAGCAACAACAACAGATATAGATACAAAAGGCAGGTGGGAGGGAATGGGGGATAATGTTATGAATGCAGCTGGCATACTCATGATCAACTAACTACTAGACTAACTAACTAGAAAGAAAGTAGCCAAGGTAATGTAATGTAATGTAGTGTATGTAGTGTAGTGAATTGTCTTTCTTGCTACCTACTGTATGATGACAACTACCTCGCCTTCACTCTCTGTTCTTGTCGTTTTTGATAGGCACCACTCTTCCATTCTCGTACCCATTCTTGCATTTGATTTCGATAGAGCCACGTATGTACGGCTTCATCTCGATCCCATTGATGCGCTACGGGCGACAATGTTTTGAGATCCCAATTGAATATTTCATGCGTTTGTGGATTGTAAATGCCCCACTCGGTGAGCTTTTTGGTCCGTAATGCCCCCAGATTGTTGACAATACCTTTTCCTTGTTCCCAGACAATAATTTCTCGAATGGTTTCGGCACCTTGTAATTTGCGACTGTGATATCATAGAAAGTGTAAGTAAGTGTAGAAGGAATGAGATGGTTTGACACACACAGATACTACGATCACAATAGTACGTACCTGTAATAGAGATAATTATGAAATCCTTGATCGGCTCCCGTCATTCCAATATCAGTTTCATCCCATTCATTGACGAGCGCTCGCAAGTATGTTTCGAGTGCAATTTGTTCTCCCATGGTGGATCCGGAACAAATCGTGGGTTTATCCTTCAATGCATTAATCACGGCTTCCCCATACGCATTACGGAGCCAATTGCGATTCTTGGTGGATTTTCCCAATCGCGTCGCTTCGTGATTTTCTCCAAAAAAGTACAACAATCCATCCTTGGACGAAGGTGATTGTCGCGGTGGAACATGAGCAAATGGATCGGATTGAAAAAAGGAATCGCGGGCGTCAATGAGGAGAATCCAAACATTGGGTTGATACTGCTGGGCCCAGATCCAGTACCATTCGTAACGGAGTGTCGCAACGACCCGATGGGCGCGTGGATCGGGGGCAATGCGAACGCCACCATTATGCGCATCTTTCCAACCATACACATCGGCCAATTGACACATTTGAAAGATATCGAGTCCTCCGTGGGGCATATTGCGTCGTTTGGCACCGGGATTGCCGTTGGTATCCAAACAGGACAATTCATTGTTGTAAATAACGACATGCACGCGATTCTGATATTGCAAATATTCCATAACGTTGGGTTTGATCATGGCCGGTTCGGAAATGGCCAAGACATAGTCGCCTTTGAACCCAGTGTCGGCGAGTGTTTCCACAAACATCATGTAATACTCGAGTCCGTAGCCTTCGGCATACGCAAAAATGGCATCTTGATCCGGACGATGATGACCAAAGACGGGTTCGACCACTACGGTTACTCCTGGAGGACCATCTTGAATCAAATGAGTCGGTTTGGGAAATTGAGAAGGAGCAAAGACTTGAATTTCATCGGGAGGAGCAAACAGGTTGGCTGACAATTCTTCTTCGTCCAAGTCTTCTTCTTGTGCCATCATCATTTGAGCAAATGAAACATGATTTTGAAGCAACAGAGACTGAAAGAGGGACAGAATCAGGAACAGTGACCACCCCATTGTTCTTCTTCTTCTTCTGGATGATACGTGTAGGACTTGGCTCATGGTCAATTAATTGTCAAGCTAATGGATCAAGGACAGCAAAGTCAGGTCGACGGTTGTTTTGGTCATTGCCGATGCCAATCTGTTGCCTGAAGACTCCAGCGATGCCAAACGGTCTTGATTTGACTCATTCGACTAAAATCAAGAAGCTGGTCGCCATGTCGTCAAAAGATCTTTTTCGAACATGATGACTGCAGGGTCATTTTTCTCGGTCACAACTTGCTTCCCTCAAACCAAGACACTTCGATCATTCAACGATCACAAATCACACAAAATCAGGCAGAGCAGTCAGTCACAGTAATCAATCAATCATAGACAAATCAATCAATCAAATCAATCAGAAGCCAAAGTATAGAACAATCAGTCCTCACCATGACCACTACTAGTACTACTACTACTACTCCAGAAGAAGACCAGCATGCGGAACTGCAGGAAGAAATAGGAGCGTTGCGTCGATCCGTCGATTGGGATGTCAAGGATCTCGAAAATTTGGAAGAATTCTTCAAGGCCGATTTGGCCGCCGATATCGAACGCATGTCGTCGGGGTCGTATGATGAAGAAGATCAAGACAATCTGTCGTCGTCACACGGAACCAATCATTCCACTGGATCTGCCGATATTGCCAGTAGTAGCATGGCCACCAATACGTCCATGCGCAAGCCAAAACCAATGATGGCAGGAAGACCCGTCACGGGAGCTCCCGCGCCCAACTCGGATCTAATTTTCTTTGTCAATGCGGCGTTTCGCGACGAATATCAAGTCTGCGCGCAATTGACTACGGATCACGCCGTTGTCGCATTTGAATGTGATATCGTACAAAAACTCAATGCCGGACAGACATTGCCCTACTTGACATCGCTACGAGTCCCCAAGGGCTGTTTAATGCGCGCCAAAGTCCATCCCATTTTCCGACGACTCCTCGTACAATCCATGTGGATACAACAACAACCGGCCATGTTGCGTTATCAAAAAGGACAGACCAAAATTGATCCCACAGCACCTGTCTGTAGTTGTGCCAATCCACCGTGTGGTAATCCTGCCGTTCGATTTGTCGGCAATCCGGGATTCTTTTTACAAAAAAATCTACTCATTGATCCCTTTTGTGTCCCCGTCTGTCTCGATACCAAGTGCGTCTTGCAAGCCCAACAAATGTCCAATACCATTCACGCAAAAGCACAACAGCATGCTGCCAATAGTAATCTCGGACAAACGTCCAAATTTGCGACGGCGTCCAATCCAGCGTTGAAATCGCAAATGCCACACGACGTGCATTCCTGTAATGTCTGTGGATCCTTTGAACGCAAATACGGTGGATCCGCCCATGTTCTCAAAGCGTGTCCGCTCTGTGGGATTGCCTATTATTGCAGTCAACAATGCCAAATTCAAGATTGGCAACGCGGTCATAAGGATGTGTGTACCAATGTCAAGGGGACTGCCACGGGTGCACAACAACAACAACAACAACAGACACAAGTCAAGGCTGCTGCTGTGGATAGTAATTCTACAAAGAAACCAGAACCACCCGCCACCATTCCCGAAGAGACTCCCATTATTGCGCCGGCGCCCTCGCCCATTCCATATCAAATGCCGGTGGCAGCTCCGGCTCCGGCGCCCATGCCATTGCGCACGACAGCACCACCGCAAAAGAAACAGCCATCACCACCAGCCAAACAACAACCCACTTCTAGCAGCAACAACAATAGCATGACAGAAGTGACACAGGGCATGGCGGCCATTTCCATGCCCACGTACAACATGCCCGAACCAGAAGTCGTTGCGACACCGCAACATCGAGTTTCGGCGCCGCCCACGGTCCCTGTTCCGACCTATAACATGCCAGAACCAGCCGTTCCTGTCTATCCTGCACCACCCAAACGAGCCGTCTCGGAAGGAATGGCACCCTACAGTGTTCCCACGTTTCCAGGCAATACCAATAACAACAACGACAACAAGGACGCGACCAATACAACTGCCACAACGACAACAACACAAAAGGGACGCAAAAAGGCAGAGTAAGCAGATGGGCAGAACTCGACTACACTCTTCGTAGTATAAATAAATGTGAATGGAGATAGCTTTAAAATGTGGGGTCAAAAGAGGTAGTATGGTATCGGTACTTATGAATGAATGCATGAATAAATAAATGTAGAAGAAAGGTGATTGAAACAACCCTAGTAGCTTTCTTCTCACAATTATTGGCAGCTCCTTTCACTTCAATCACTTTACTTTTACATAATATTCACCCCGCCACATCCAGTGCCAACCGGAGTGTATCTTCGGACCACCCGTACGCACGGGCACTTTCCAACAATTCTTGTCGTTTCCGCAAGCGATCAATGACCGGTTGCAGCTGTGCTTCCAATTGGGCATCGCATTGGACGGCTTGTTCGTAATATTGTGCCGATTCACTCAATTTCCACAATTCCTCCAGAATTTCTCCGGCCCGCGCCCATCCGCGACTGTACATGGGCAACAATTGTGTCGCCTGTAAGACATCTTGTGCCGCTTGCAACAGTGCAAATTGGTAGAGTCCGTGCCAATATTGCGTGCGTCGAAAACAATCTTCTTGTCGCCACGAATCTACCAGTACTTTGCGAAACATGGAATGGGAAATGGCAGGCGACAGACCGGCGGTTTGTTCGTAGAGACGTTTGAGTTTGGTGGCATCGGGTACCATTTTCATGAGCTCTTCGACAATGGTACGCAATTGTATCTTGTGACTGGATGCGCGTTGTAGATATGCCGTGGCTCTCATGAGGAGCAAGATTCCTTTTTGTTGTTGGACTTGTTGTGGTTGAATCATGGCAGTTTTGCTATTACTGCCATCAGTAGTTGGTTGTTCCAGATTCGCCCCAATAATTTGAATGGCGGCATTGTACGCTTGCACGGCTGGATCGAATTTTCCCGCTTCCAAGTGGGCATTTCCCTTGTATTTCCATTTGAGACAATCACAGAATTGATACGGGACTTGTTCCGTGGATACCGCCAAGTACTTGGTCAAAATGCGGTACACTTTGTCTACCGAATCCACATTGGACACATCCAAACATTTTTGTTCCTTTCCAGTAGAGATACACCGGATATGAGGTCCTTTGGTTTTCTTGTTAGCAATATTCGTATTGACGACATTGCTGGCAGGATGATAACTGCTGGTAGTGGCGCCGCTGCTTGTCATGGCATTGTTTGGATCCACTACTACTGTTCCTGTTGTGCCACTACCCGAAGGAGTCCCAAACGTGGCCGCCACGACGCGAATGGTAGAAGGAGGCGCGAGACCCAAAAAAGCGTCGAGTGTGGCACTGGCACCTCGATCCAACGACGGTTTGCTTTGGTCGACGTACACGGTCCACTGGTGGGATGATGGAGTAGAAGTAGAAGCGCTCGTAGTAGTTGGACTTTGTTCCTCCGACTTTTTGGTGTGGCGCCGTTGTCGGCCAAACAGTGACATCATCATGGAGAGCTGCGTTCTTGGCGTACTACTAGTACTAGTACATGCTCGGGAGGATGGGATGATCAAGTTTCTTGGGTGATGATGATGACGATGATGATGATGAACTCCAAATCCTTCTACCAACGACACGGCCAGTAAAACTGCCAACAACGAGACCAATGGAAGTTTCAAAGGTCCTAATAACCATCTTCTTCGGAATTGAAACATCATCGTCTCCCGGCTACATGAAGATCACAAACCTGTGATGAGGGACAAGATCAATCAAGAGCTATGGACTGTACTATGTGGACGTGTGGACGTCTATCTGTGTCGGTCTCTCGCACAGGGTTGTCAACTGGAGAATCTTTCTTTGGCTGACACTTTCCTTGAAAATGGATCTTGAGCGCAGGTCGCACACAGGCTCCTCCAACCCACCCCGAAGTCGTCAACAGACCGAGGTGGAGAGTGGAGAGGTACACTGGTACAGTCCAGTACTACTCGTTGGAGCTTTTTGATTGAAACAAAGAAAGGTGCCTGGATGCATGCACACTAGCTACGGTAGTCAAGCTAGATGTACGGTACGGTAGGTAGTAGATGAGTTCTTGGTGGCCATGGGGAAGATGATGCATCGAAAACCTTTTACAAATTTGGAAGACAACACGACAAAGGCCAAAGGTGAATGCTGGGATCATTTATTTGCTACCGTACCTACCGTATTGTCTAATTAATTAATTGATAACCATTGTGGCGGCTCACCCCCATGTATGTATGTATGTACAAGCAACGAATGAATCGAATCGATCCAAGTACAACAACCAGCAATACAAGCAAAAATGAAGACTGAATTGCATGCATCGTTCCTGTCCTGCGCATCCATCTGATTGTGCTGCGATCCTCTTACGTCTCGAATTCTCCACCCCTGCTTGCTTCTGTCTGTTATGTTATGTGACTTTCGGAGACGATTGCCAGCCTGACTGACTGTGAGTGCAACATGCACTACGGTAGTACAGCAGCTATGACATAGTGGACCGGTGGCTGAGATAGATTGCAGCCATCGTTGTAACTCGCATCCAAGAATCAACCCAGTAATGAGCGGCAAGCAAAGCCAAAGAAGGATTTGTACAAAGGTACAAGTAAGTTGTACTCTAAATATCATCGTCGGGCAGGAGCTCAGGGCGATAGCTCAAGTAACTCGACGTGATTTGATTGCTGTCGTAGAGGCAGGCAGTCATCGCCCGCTGTAAGCTCAGGGCGACAGCTCAAGGAGAGGGACGTTTGGAGGATTGATTGTAACCCTCTGTGCCCGCACATCTGCCTGCCAGCAGGTCTAGTTAGTTACGTACCGGTAGCTGATGTTCAGTATACAAACGAAGCAACGATTATCAACATATATTCAGATCTATTATTTGATTTATCTGTGGAATCTATGGACTTGACAAGGCCGCTGCCGGTCCAATGGTCTTTCATCACAACTTGGCTCTCTGCTTTTGCCGGTCTGGATCTGGAGACTGTCTCTTGATTTTTTTGCAATGGACCCTTGACTTGAACCGGTCCCGCAATACTAACATGGAAGTCTTGCACCTGTTTCGTGAGGTTTGTGAGAGCATTCACTGCTGGGTACTAGACGAGGAGTCTTCCGCCTGCTGTAGAGCGTCTCCCGTCGTTTTACGTTTCTTTGCTTGGCTGTAGTTCTCTTCAAGCTGAATGGCGTCATCCAGGATCTCCAGCAAGGATCTTCGACCGCCTGCAAGGGCAGCACCACCGCTGGTTGACAGGGCATGGAGACCCTGAAAGATTGCAGCATGATTGGATGAGGCAGAGAAGGACGCTGGTGAAAGCATCATTCGTGGGGCCATTGAGTGGTTGCTCTGCGACATCCAGGCGGGGTATCGAACGGTGGTTGATGAGGAAGGTTGGGGCATTTTCGAGGCGACCATTGTGACGGGACTTTTGAGTTCACTCGCTTGGCTAAACTTTGCTTGGTATCTGGTTTACTTTGGTGATGTGCCTTTTAGATTTTAGCAGAATTAGATTGTGAAACCTAGGATTGCGATAATAGGACGCTGGCTGTGAGATTGATCTCAATCATTCAGCTATGCATAGTTGGTTCGAACCGCCAGCGCCTCTCTCAGATGATACAGCAGCACCTGAATCTGTGTTCAGAATTCTCTGACGCCACACTTCAGCAATCGAATTCTCAGAGAGCTCTCAGCGTCGAACTAACTCTACTGTCTGGAGGAGACTTTCGGTTATTTTAGAAATGGAAGGGCTTATTCAGTAAGCCCCAGCAACTCAGTGGCCAGGTGATGATACTTAACATGTCAGTGGTCAGCTGGTCTTGGCTAGTTCGCTGTATGCTCTGGTTGACTATTCCATAAAACTTTTCTTTGGTGCTCGAGTTTGGCTTCCGGCTTGTTAAAAAATCCGGGATCTTACTCACAGGGCTAGCTATTCTAGTACTCGAGTACTACTAGTAGTAGTGAGCGAGCTAGCTAGCTAGTGAGCGTATGAGCAGTCTTTTTTGATGCATTTTGCATTATTTTTTAAAATAGTACATTATAGTACTACTAGCTAGCTGTTGATAACGCACTCGGACTCCGTATGTTCGCCCAAGCAGGGGCAAGATTGATTTTGATTTTGATTCTGTTTTCTGACCATCCGCTATCCTCTGGGATGGGGGATGGTACCAATACTGGTACTTTATCGATTGAGGATGCATCACTGTACTTCTAAAGTGGCTTTAGGATGATGTAAAAGACCTTGCCATTGAAAACTAACTGTTCATGCAGTCAGTGCCAGTCACTCAGTCACGCAGATGTAGAGTGCACAGGGTACCGGTAGACTAGGGAGCAGGGGGGTGGAGAAATCCAGTGCTATTCATTTGTGGATCCTTGCCGCTCTGTAAGACAGTGGTAAACAGTGGTTGACAGCGGTTGACAGTGGTGGCAGTGGTAAAGACAGCAGTAAGATAGTGGTAAACAGCGGTAAACAGCTGGAAAGATAGCGGTGAACAGCGGTAAAGCTAGGGGTAAAGCTAGCGGTAAACAGTAGTAGACAGTGGTAAGCAGTGCTAAGCAATGGTTGCCTGGCAAAAAACCTTGGTGGGCAACGATGAGCAATGAATTTCTCCATCCCCCAGCATCAGCTGCACCGGAGCGTGTGGCCAGTGGTGGTCACATCATGGTCACACGCTATTGCCCTTGCCTCCTTGCTCCTTGCCTAGTTGCCTGACCCCAGCTCGGCTTACCTGCTCTGAAGTACCAGTGACCAATGTCCGGAGCTGTCTAGCAACAAGCTAACTATGATAGTTGCAAGGTCACCTGGCAAATGCCCTTGATCTGGCTGGAATCTGGAAGCAGATCTCAGACTCCACCACAAACAGCTGCATTCTGAGTTTTTGCACGGTACCGCTGGCTGGTACGGTACGGTACGGTACGGTACGGTAGCACGGTACGGTACGTAGTAGAGCGTAGAGCTCTGTACCGGTAGTCGCAAGATGCCAAGCAAGCAAAAGCTGGCTTCCCTGGAGTGCCATGGGCGTAAAAGAATTTTCCCTCCTTCTAACCACCAAAGCTCCTGCGTGCTGCTACCCTAATTGCCACACAGATAGATGCATACGACCAGTCGACCAGTCCCCTCCTTCTGCAACTGTTAGAAGGGGTTGGTTGCATCGTCGACAAAGACTTAGTTTTCTTTGGTGTTGAAGTTAGGCTTCCGGTTTCGGAATCGGAATCGTCTAAAAGGGGTAGAAGTACTCAATAGAAGATAGGAGATCAAGTGGAATTTGGAAGATATGGATGTAAAAGACCTTGGCACCTCTCTTTTCTTTCAATGGTTCTTGCGTTTATGCCCCAGCAGCAGGTACTAGTATATCCATGCGGCACGGAATTGCACGGAATTGGTATTGCCTTTGCCTTTGCCTTGCCAATACCACAGCTCCCACCACGTACCATTGCCTCTGGCCGGCTACTAGCTAGATAGCTACTGAGTTACTGAGCACCAGCTACTCAGAGTACCAGCTCCTCTGTGCCTCTAGCTAGCTAGTAGAGTGACTAGCTGGCTAGGTACCTGTCAAATTCCCTTGATCTGACTGGAATCTGGAAGCCCGAGTACATGTATGCATGTATGTGTACATGTATGTAGATGCCAAGGAGAGCTGAGAGGGTACTAGTACGATGTACGATGAGCGAATGCGAATTTGCGCCTACTTGAGTACCAACTCAAACAGCTGCATTCTGAGTTTTGGCCTACCACTCGGTATGTTGTGGCGAGTGGCGAGGTGCCAAGCTATCAAACTACTAGCCTCAAGTTGATAAGAGCGAGTACATGCAGTGTGTTCCATGACTGTAAAAGAACCGTTGACCTATAAAAGTTGCTGCGGGCTACATACTACATTCCTACTAGTAATTGCCATGCGGATGCCTATGACCAGTCTCCTCCATTCTTCAGTTTCAACAGAAGAGCACTGTAGCAGCGACAAAGGAATTGCAGTTGCTCCATCAAATTTTTGTGGTGTCTGGAGACACAGGTATTGTTGCATCTGCCAGCAGCTAGTAATGCATTGCTAGTAGTTGGTAGGAAACAGGGAACCAGCCACGTGAGCGGAAGCAGGGGCGGGATCTGAAACTATTGTGTTAGGAAGTTAAGCTCTTGACAAAGCGATGACTTTTCTCTTTTTGATTGGCACTTGTCGAGGGCAGAGAGAGGGAGCCAGATATGCCACTGGCTTGCTTCCCACAGCACCGATCCCAGACAGACGACCAAGAAACGGTCGCATGCAGGAGGCTGCAGCATTTTGGTGGCTGCAGCATCCTGGTGGGATCCATCCCTCGACAAATTAGCCTATTGCACAACTCATCAAACTTCTATCTAGAGAAGCCTCACGTTCGCTGCCGGGTGCATGAGAGACGAATGGATCTCGTTTGGCCGGTAGCAAATCTGCGGCGTTCAAAACTCAATCGTCCTCATGCGATGTCGCACCATGCAGGCTGTCCCAAAGCCGTGCGAATCCAACACTTCTGCTGCTACTCGTACTGTAACTAGCTCGGTATTAGTTCATTCTTGCCGATTGAAAGCTGTACCGGTATGTTGTCGAACAAACTACGATTGATGCCTCGACACCAGTGTTTGTGTGGGCGGAGCATGCAGGTCAGGAGAACGTCAAACTGTGATTACATGCTTTCGGCAGGCCCCTCCCACATGAAGGCGCACCACCTAAGAAATGTAACGGCAAGATCTTTCTCCTGATTCCCACCACGGCCCGAAGCCAAATTTGAGGAGATCTGCAGCGGGATCGTAAATTATTTGTGCGAGAGAATATGGACTGTGCCGAGTGTAAACAACTGAGAGCTCTAGCTAGAGCTAGAGGAAGCAACTTACTCATAAAACGAAAGTTAGTTCGTCATTGGAGCTACCCGAAGAAAGAAAGAGAGAAACAACCGATCAGAAACTCTACTAGCGCCTGCCTTTTCTCTCATCATGATTTTTCTCCGCAGTCTGTTGTGTTGTCAGCTGTTGTTTTTGTTGACCAACACCGCAGAAGGTATTCATCACCGCATTGCTGCTGCCAATGCTACCCGTACTGGATCCAGTAGTACCATTCGCGCCCGAACAGCTCGCACACTCAACTTTACCGGTACCACAGCTTCTTCTACCGCCAAGCTGCAGGCAGAAGCACAACGCAGAGCCAATCTTCGCATCCGCCTTGAAGCCAAATCCAATGACTTTCAACGCGACCAGCGTGCCTTGGGCGTCATCTCGAGCAGTGACGATGTGCGCCGCGAGGTCGAAGATGCCGATGTTGAAGAAGAGCTGGTTATCCCAAAGAATACTATTACTCCTGACTTTTCTCTGTTTGGAGGTATCTCAGGGATTACCTTTGAAGAAGAGGAAGAAGTGTATTTAGCTGTACCCAAAGAAGCGAGGTATCGACTGCTGCAATATGACAACATTGATCGACAAGGGGGCGGCAATGATACTTACAATAAGATTCCAGTAGCCAACGAAACGGATCCTGTCGACACTCCCCGTTGGTATACACTCACATTCGATGAGGGTGCTATCAACATAACCAATGTCACATACCTTGTAAGTGACAGAATTATGTTTTCAACAGTCGGCAACATGCCTCTCACCTTTCCCTTTTCTACTTTCCTGCATCTCTCAGCGCAATCCTGAGAACTCGGACTACTTTTACCAGAGTGGAAATGTCACAGTGCAAGCGATAACCTCCTGCGAAGGAATGATTTATGTTGCTTTGGACAAGGGCCCAACATCCCCGCCTTACTTCCGCCCTAAAATTGTTGAGTACAATGCTAGCGGCCACGTCATGGGGACCTTTCAGTATCCGACTTGGTTCAACTTCAGTCAGGGCTTTACGGGTCTTTCCGTCAATCCCAACGAGAAAAAGTTGTACGCTGCTACTGGGGACGGCCTTGTGGGAGATGAATCTCGGTATATCCGCATCACGGAGTTTGATTTGCAAACCCGTGAATCGGGCCGACAGTACGTGTACGAATCCGACCTGGAGAACGTAGTCGGTCTCGTCAGCCTTGATGACAATGGAGGCTTCCTGGTTTTGGAGCGATCCGACGTCAGGCCAGAGTACAATCCACTTTTTGGCATTGTACAATCTAACCCGCCCACTGTGGGTCGCACCCCACCAGAAAATTGGTTTGGATACAATGTCAGACTCTACTACGCTCTCTGTTTGGACGCGATGAACGTCCAAAACATCAGCACTGGATTGCAAGGCTTTACTCTGAACACAATGCGAAAGGAGCTTGTGCGAGAATGGTCCAACGTGACCAAGTGGGAAGCCATTGGACTAGCGGGGGATCACAGCACCTATCGTCGAAAAACTGCAAGCAAAAGCCGACGAACAAAGCATAGTCATCGTGGGCTTGAAGAAGACGAAGATTTCGAAGAGACTCCGAAACATCGCAAGTTGGGAAGTGATTCCATCGATATCATCCTAATGGCAGACAATGAATTTGTCCGCGACACGGAGGCGCAGTTGTTGGAGGTGGATATTCATGAAGTGCCACTCTTGCAGCCCGCAGTGGAAACGGAAGATATGTTGGATCACGAAGGCGAGACTGATGAAAGGGCGAAAGATCCGGCGATCTGGATCCATCCTAGCGTTCCCGAATACTCGTTGATCATTGGTGCCATGGACAAAGGATTGGTTCACGTGTACGACATGTCTGGGAACCTAAAACAGACTCTAGACAACGGTGACGAGGCAAGCGGCGTTGACGTTATGTATGCCTTCAAGTTGGGCAACGACAAACTAGTGGACATTGCCATCATCACTGATCGTGCTGGCAATCGCATTGAAACCTACAAGATCAATCAAGAAGATCTACCAAGCAATAACAACATTCTATCGAGCCTTTCCGAAGGCCTTCCATCCGTCAGCTCGCCTGGAGGAGTGGCAGCCTACACATCGCCCTTTACCGGGAGGTCCTATGTCTTTGTCATTGAAAATGACAATGCTATCAAACAGATTGAGCTCAAACCAACCGATAACAATGAACGAATTCGTGGAGATGTCATTCGTACCGTTGGACTACCAGGAACTGCCGGAAGCAATGGCATTGTTGTGGACCAAGAACTCGGATACATTTACGTAACCATCGACTTCAACGAGTTTGGCATCGTCAAGCTTGATGCCGAACCGGATGAAGGTGACTCTGACTGGGAGTCCGTGGCGTCTGGCGATCGTAGCTACTTCAAAGGAGGTGATATTGAGGGTCTCACATTGTACTACGGAGACAAAGGCGATGGCTACCTGGTGGTCAGTGTATCTGGCGACAGCACGTTCGCAGTGTTTGAGCGTGAATCCGACAATGACTACTACGATAGCTTTACCATTAAGCACAATGAGGAGGAGGGCATTGACAGGGTCGATCATGCAACAGGCGTGACCATCACCAACGTCAAACTTGGTCCAGGTAAGCAAGGAGTCAAAGAAATTGTTTCATCTCGTTCCTCGTCATCATGTCGCTCACATTACTAGTATTTCGCTTCTCCCAGAGTTCAAGTGCGGCGTGTTTATCGCGGCGGATGCAAACAATGAAGACGCGCTCATCAAAAACGAAAATGGGAATCTGGTGAATGGCAACACTAACTTCAAGCTGGGTACGTACGGTACAGCGTGAATGGCTGTTGATACGGTACGGTGGATCGATTTGCTTTCGCTTTCGGCTGCTAACTAAGTCTTTTGATCCTCCATTGCTCCACGAAAAAAAAAAAACCAAAGTCCCGTTTGAGGAACTTGCCGAAAAGCTTCACTACTACCTTGACGTTGACACGGATTCTTGGGACCCTCGTCGCTTCGCTCTTGTGATTTGGATCAACTGCATTGCGCAAGACGTGTACTCGGCCCTGAATGAAAACAAGTTGAGTGGTCGTGACACGGAGAGCTTGCTGGGGTATCTCAATGAAGCCGTTCGGCACACGTATCCTCGGGCGTCCAAGAAGCAGCAGATGATATCTCGTCTGGATCCCTTTTACTACGACGATCGACGACGTTCCTTGGAAGAGCGTCGCCAGGAGACTCACCGTCGTCTGGAGGAAGACCGACGTGGGTTGCGAAAACGTCGCAAAGATTGTCGCCGTCGCCGCAGGTTGGGCGTCGATAGCGGCAAGGCACGAGATGACCTTGACGACTTTTTGGACAAGTTGCAGTCTTTGAAGGATGCCGGTCGCTTGGGTGATGTTGACGATTCGCGGTACGAGTATTGGAAGGATCTTGCGACTGGAGTCAAGGATCAGCTTCACGATGATGACTAAAACATACATATTATATGAAGTCATGTATTTTGCCAATTGCCAGGCAGCTTGATTGCTAGCTAGCAATCCCCTCCGATACAGAACATGCACCCTTCGTTATATGGTACATCGTACCACAGATGACCACACAGCTCCACAAACTCATCCCCACCACATCCGCAGCGCGACATCGGTTTCTCACCACGACCGACGACGGACATACCGCTACACTTTAGGACATAAGAGGATCAAACAATTATTACAGCGGTTCTCTGACCTTGGTGTTCTCCGGTAGTTAGTATTTACGTATTGCAGGAGCCAAAACAAGCTCACCGCTTGAGCTCCGCGTGTCGCTTAAATATGAACGTGAACTTTGCTTGCCTGGCAAGTGTGTCTGAAGTGTGAGATGGGAGAAATTGTGAACCCAATCATTCCAACATAGACTGCCTTGCACTCCTATGATACATGTACCGTACCTTAGTAAAGTTAGTAAACTGTTGTGGTGTGGAAATACCCCATTTCTTGTGATCAACACTCCTCCTGTTTCCGTGAAGGTGGTTTAGCTCAAACTGACCGGCAACTCGGCAATCGGCAAGCAAACCTCCACAGGCCAAAAGCGCCGACGATCGATTTTGAAGTACAGCGTAGCAAAAAGAGCTAGGGAGCACAACAGCGGCAACCATCAACAACTACAGTGTGTGGCTATTGCTAGGCCACAACGGAGAATTAGTAAGCTTGCTTGCTAGCTAGAGTTTGATTAGGTTTGTTGCTGGTGTTGACTCTATCTCAAAAATTTCGGTTAAAGGAGAAGTGTCACGCTTTGCACAGGACGAAGCCATGACCACGTCCACCAAAGCCACTACGGATGGAGCTGCTCCAGAGCCCACTGCCAGTGTGTTAAAGAACGATGTGGAGGACGACATGACCATGAATGCCAGTGCAAGTGAAAGGGAAACTACTGCCAGTAGTGAGATCATCGGTAAAGCAACTACTACTGCTGCTCCCCCTGGCTTTACGGACGAGGCTGCGACCAAAGAACAAGTGGCGGCGGCTGCCACTGAGTCTGCCAAACAACAAGGCCCCCCACACCCGGTACTCGCGACAAAGTCCTCTCAAATAGCTGCCGGCGACATTTACTCACTGGTGGACTTGCCCGAGCCGGTTCCACCACAGCAACCGCAACCCAATCTTCCCGGGGCTTACGCCGTCTCGGGCGCCGCTCGCGGTGCCGTTCAGAATTTTCTGCAACGACGAGCGAATACGACTACTGCTAGCAATTCCAATACTAATATGCGCCTCGACAACCACCACCACACCGCTCAAGACAACGACAACGACAACGACGAAAGCAAATCGAACAGCGGGCTCGTCGAGGCGACACCCCTTTCGGAGGATCAAGTCGGGCCGATTGCAATAGCAGCAGCTCAGGATCCTCTCTCCAGCCATGCATCATCAACTGGTAGTAATAGCCACAGAAATAGTGCCGCTTGTCGGTTCTATAGTGCTATTGGTTTGGCATTGATAGTACTATTGGCGGCGGCCGCCTTGGTCGGATACATTGTTGGACAAAGCAAGTCGGAAGCACCAGCCATTGTGATTGTTTCGCCGCAAGCTGGAGACCAAACAACAACGGGGCAGTCGAATGATGATGCCAGCATTGGAAACAACAGCACTGGTGCAACGGCAGACCATACCGTTCTTGACACAACGCCTTCCAACGTCCTCTCCATCTTGCTCGATCCCCACCTATTCACATCTACAATAGAAAGACTCGAGGAACCCTCTTCTCCCCAATACCAGGCATATCAATGGCTGAAAGACGACCCAAACTTGACAAGCTTTACTACGGCTCGGGTCATACAACGCTTCGCTGCCGCAACCCTCTATTACGCGACACAAGGGGATCAATGGGATAGCAATGATGGACCCGTGACCGTCTCATTTGGATTGCCTGGTATGGATGGATTCAAAGTCAATGTCACGGCTTCCAAGTGGCTCGACTACAACAGCCATGAATGCAGTTGGCTCTCCTTTCCCGTTTTTGAAGGAGTGGAACGAGAAGGAGAGGGGCAATGGCTGTGTCCAGACTACGATCCCAACGTCCCCACAAGCACAGGATCCTTTATCAATCTCAATCTTTTCAACAACAACCTCAACGGAACGCTGCCGCCAGAGCTCGGGCTCCTCACAACACTGGAACAGGTCCATTTGTATCGCAACCCGCAATTGCAGGGGGAAATCCCGTCCGAAGTGGGATTGCTCACCAACCTCCACTACTGGAGTTGCCGGGCTTGCAAACTGTCGGGGCGGGTTCCGTCGGAAATCGGCCTCCTAACCAAGTTGACGTACCTCAATACCTTTCGAAACCTTCATACGGATGCCTTGCCCGCACCAGTGTGGCGATTGCCTCGTCTCCAACTGTTACGAATCGGCCAAAATGAAATTTCGGGAAGAATCCCCGACGCCATTGGATCGCAACTCCCCCACATTCAATTGATCCGATTGTCTCGGAATCAAATGAGTGGTTCGATTCCCAAGTCGATTGGTGACTGCAGTCTCTTGACCGAGTTGGATCTCGCTGCGAACTCCTTCACCGGTTGGATACCGTCCGAACTAGGACGCTTGCCGCTCCAAGAGTTGGAATTGGGAGATAATCTCTTGTCCGGCCGTGTTCCGTCCGAGCTGGCGCAATTGACGGGGCTCGTGTCGCTGAATCTCAAAAACAATGCGGATCTGACGGGTTCCCTGGAAGAGTTCCTACCGGTAGCAACCGACATTAATGCAACTGAGATGGCACTAATGTCCTTGTCAATCCAGGGGACAGGGATCACTGGAACCATCCCAGAAGAGATATGTGCCATTGAGGCCCTCACCTTTGATTGTTCACCCTCATGTTGTGGGTGTTCCTGCCCTTGTGTGGAACAACCATGATCCAGCCATCCAAGCCAATGAGACAGTCACACTTCCTCTCGGTTTTGTGAGTTTCCCACTGATCCAAAGTCCACATACATCTTCAGGGTTCGAGATGACTGAGTGAGTAACCCTGCAGTAGCCTACTCTACTGGGTAGGTAGGAGAGTACCATTGTGAGGGGTGGATTAGTCACAGTTGTGTCAGGAATCCAAAGGATATTCCACACAGCAGACAAGACTATCTGGGCGGGCTGGCGGGTCCTAGGTGGCGGTGAGGCAATGGGTGGGCTCTGTCTCGGATCCAATGCGACCCAAACGTGCCAATACCGCTGGCATGCTAACGAGAGACAGCGAGATGTTTGAAATGATTTGATTGGCAGCTATACTGCTGTAAACTCAACACCTGAAACAGGCCCTTGAGGACGCCCAGCCACAATTTAGCCTATTCACCACCAACACTAAGTCTTGACCTCCTGAGATGCTTTTGAACGGAGACAGGAAACAAAATCCAACATTTCACTCTGAAGTTTGATCGTCAATCCTTCCGGCAAAAGACACAGGTCTTGCTTGCTTGTGTGGGGACGATTATCACTTGAAAGACTACGTTTCAGTTTTACACTTGCTACGTGGCATGGGCAGCGGACCGGGTCATTTCTGCGGCCTAGCTAGCTAGCCACTTGTACGGTACAGATCAAGCAGATTCTTCTTACTTGCAAAACCACCAGGAAGAGGTCCTTCATGAGGACTTGGCCATCAGCCTTGGCCCTTCCTGAGCATACAGACTGTAATATTATTATTCGACTTCCTGGGCTACTTCAACTGCTTCGTCGGTTGCAGTCTCTCCACGCGTCATTGCCAAACATCTGTTTTTGAGTGAGAACCTGGACGGAAAATGGAAAGTACAGGAGAGTTTGCCACCTGATCACTGATCAGGGCACAACTTCACTTGTGGACTACCAGGTAGCCACTCGTGGGCTCCAACTCCCACCAGCAATAGAGCGACCCAAGGCTTCAAAGCGGATTGGGAAGCCAAAGAATCAGAAGTGCATCTGGGCATTCCAGGCCCCAAATCACTACTGGTAACACGTTTGCTATAGCAACAGCTGTAGCAGAATTCTTTTCTTCTTGTGATTTCCACGATCTTTAACAGGTACCGGTAAGCATCAGCAGGATGCGAGCTGGAAGCACCTAGCTGCTAGAATCTGATGATGACGAGTTGCCGCCTTTGCGGAACTGCTCCTCTCGGAGTGCTGTGGCCATTGTTGTGGCCATTGCGGTGGCACCAGGAAGCTTGTGATTTCATCTTTTCCGACAATCTGATTGATTCCCCCTTCAATCCGGTGTACACTTTTCCCCCCTTCGCTCCCTTTTTGCCCTCGGGGAGTAAGTGGAGAGATCCCTGGCAGCCTTCGCTGGGTCATGCAGCCAGTCTTGTTCAACACATTCATCGTTGGAATCGAAGAGGACCACTCCATCCCTAAGCATAAGAATAAACTTAGGGTTTGTATCTGCCTGGATAGCTAGACTACCATAGCGTTGGGAATCTTCAGATACTGATACTTTGCCACCCAGCTACCGGTAGCTAGAAAGTATGAAGAAACAAACAAACTGTTTGAGATATCAATAGTCTGAAACCAGAAAACGACAATCATTTTAAATAACACCAAAATCTACAATTTTTGCCTCACGATCAGAGGCAGACAATGATCACAATTCTAAAAACTATCTCTGCAGCTTTCAAAGGAAAAAGAGAGTTCAGCTCACTGGCCCAGCCACTCTGGTAGATGTCCAACCTGTGCCAACATTAGTCTAGAGTAAGACTCTATATCTGTACAGAGATCTGCTTGTTCAGTTGTGCTCAAGAGTACTGGCTAGCTAGAGTACGACTGTACCTGGTAGAAAGAAGCCCACAGAGTCAAATAAACCAAGAGCCACCCATTGCGTGGACACAAAATAAATATAATATCTTATAGAGAAGTTTCAAGTAAAATGGGATCTAAGAGCTTCAGGCCTCATTGAAAATTGCTCACATGGGAGATCAAGCTGGGTGAATGAAGTCTTAGAGTTCCCACGAGTAATGTCCGAATGGGAGGTTGTTCTCATTTCTCAAGTTCAACCTGCATGTCAGCGGCGAACGTCGGCGATAAAACACTGTTGAAGGAAACAGTAGAATAGAAGACTTACCTGGTACGTTTAAAACTGAAAAAGAAGCTGACTTGAAGAATTATGATTGACACAGCTGTTGACAACAGTGAACCGCGAAGAACGTGAAAACAAGAACTTGGATATGCCGCTTAAGATGATCCTGCAAGAAACCTTCCTTTCCCTTAAAGGTAAAATGAGAAACTGGTTCAGTTGTGTTCTTTTCGTCATAAAGGCTTCTTCCGCGACCTTCGCGAGCCTCAGATTGTAGGCCATTATCTTTGACCAGAAAGGAGAAACTCTCAGAAACTTACTCTGGCTAAATTGAGAACCCCTCAACCGGTGTCATTGTAAACTCACTGTCGCAAAGTTAGAAGGTCGCAGAAACTGCACGCTTGGCTTCGGATCGCTTGGGGAAGTTTCCAGTTTCCAGGGGCTTTCCAATCCCCACAATCCAACCACAATCTCCAGCAACAGCAGCAAACAAACCAAGACCAACCCGCTCCCTCTCAAATTGCCACCCCCACCACCATGACCAACAAAGATTCCGTCCCTATGTCCTCCCCCACTCTCAACTACATGACTCGCACTCGCACATGGCCCGGAAATCGTCGTGGTAGCGGCAGCGGCAGTACGCCTTCTGTCCCTATTGGTGACGCAGCGCGAGTTCAGTCCATCCTTCAAGGCATGCGAGCGATTGCCCGTCCCAATGGTGAACCAAGACGATCTGTCTTGGAGATATTAGATGATGCCATTGCTCTCGAAGATACCTATCAGCGCAGTTGCCACCAGAACCCGCAGCGGGACGCCAATGGGGATGACACGCAATAAGCTATCCATTTTTTGCTTTCCCATTTTGTCCATCTTCCTGTTGGGTGGGGTATCCAACAGGAAAGGGCTAAGTCTCATTGGCTTTCCAATTCTCCGCCTTCTTAGAAGAAAAGCACCTCTATCTGATCGATTGTTTCAGGTCACTACCGAGCTAGCTAGCACGGTGACAGGCGCGGCCCTGAAGCTTCGGTACCTTCACAAACCAGTACATCATCTACATGATACATGCGCCTATATTACTCGTATTGATTGGCTATAACCAGTACTAAACGGCTTTCTAAATTTACAAGTATTTGCTGTCTGTTGGTTTGCTGGCCGTAGCCATAGCCATCCTTCAGTCTAGTAGCTACTTGTAGCTAGCCCGAAATCGTATCAAATCGTCAAAATTAATCATACTCCAGGCAGTTTCTTGGTGAGCCGAGCAGAGCAGAGCCAAGCATTATAGAAACATTGATGTTCAAGTCCGCGCATATGCCCGTGGCTGAAAACGTGGCATGAATAGAAAACTGGTGTTCATTCAACGAACCGGTAGGCCATTGCAACAGAAAGAGGAAAGGAAGGAGGAAGCTACAACAGGACTACAAGTAAGGTATCATCTCAATAATGCGACGGGATACAGCTTACAATTCAGCTTTACAGCTTTACAATTAGCAGGCTTATTCTAGAAAATAATCAATAACTGCTCACTTATTTGGAAATACAAACTTTACATCTCTTAGATCCCTAGATTAATCAATGCACAATGGTATTGTCGCATGGTAGCATGCGAGGTTATGAGATGTTACTCATTCTTATTCTTATATGTCTATCCCTTATGGTTGTCAATGGAATGAGCTATCCCTTGATGCAGAGTCCTGAGTTTCCTCTCATTATCTTCATCGGTAGTCCTTCCCCTTATTATTGCAACTTAATTCCCTTGGATTCGCTCGCAAGCAATCCCCTTGTCAACTTGCTGGATTCGCTCGTAAGCAACCCTCTTGTTCTTTATCCTGTCATCGACCAACATCGTGATGAGGATCCTATATACGATGGACTCCTATTGGAGTCCACCTTTCTTAATCCTATTGACGATCGTAATCTCAATGAGGATCCTATTATCTCGATCGCTGCAGGAGCTGCTACTACTACTACTGCTACTGCTATTACTGTTATCTCTATCACCGGTAGAGCCTTGCCTCATCTCCGTCTCCGTCGCATCGATCGATCGATCCGAGTTGACAGAGTTAACAGAATTCAGCGAAAAATGAGCTCCGACTGCATATATAAGGCTCGGCTTGTGTGTCATGCATTGAGTCATGCTTCATTACCCTCTATTATGGATTCGAATCACCGGAGCTTAAGTCTTTTATTGAGTCATGCTTCAGTTCCTCACTTTTTCATTAACTCGTCGGAGAGGTACACTGATGTTGTTTTGAACACGGAACGACGATACAAGCTGCAGATCGATAACAACAAGCTCAGTCTACCTAGGACTGGCATTGGTCGTTTTGCCTGGCTTGCAGATAACTGGCCTTCGAGTTTAAACGACAAAAGATCGGCAGATAACAGCACGGGCGATCGGGT